AGTTCTAACAAGCGAAAACCAAGCAGAGTAAACTTTGATCCATCGACATCACAAGTCTCTTGGAAGTCCAACTTAGCAGGTGAGCAGTTGGTCCTGTCTCTCAATTAGCTGCGGGGTGCTCAGAAGTGGTGGTGATTGCCCACGCCCTCCCTTGAGGTGTACTTAATGGGCACACATCTGCCCACTTCTGGCTACCCCGTCACAGCTCTAGACTCTGCATGCCTGTCCTTTTTCAGGCCTGCCTCCCTGAGAAGCCTGGAGCTGGGCCAGGAACAAGACATTGTCTGAGACTTTGAGCGACACCTCCTCTTAACTTTACTCCCAACCCCATGTATGTTCTGTTCCCCATACCGATTAATGGCAACTCAATCTTCCCAGCGTCTCAAGGCTGAGATCCTTGACTTCTCTCTCTCGTACTCACATCTGGCCCATCAGCTACTCCTGTTGGTTCTACCTTCAACACGGATCCAGAATCTGACCATTCGCTTCTAACCACTTCCCTTGGTATGAACCACCATCGTCTCTCCTCTGGCTTATTGTCACAGCCTCCCAGCTGGTCTCTTGCTTCTGCCTACACCCCATGCCATTCTCCACCTCTGCTCCTGATCTATTCTCAACTCAACAGCCAGAGTGCTGTTGTTAATCAAAGTCAGGCCGCTTTTATTCAAAACCTGCCCGGGGCTCCCATCCCCAAAGCCAATCAGCTTTACAACCAGTCCCTCATGACGTGCCCATTACTGCCCTGCCTTCACCTCCCACCACTCTTCCCTGCTCCTCCGCTCCAGGCATCCTGTCTTTCTTGCTGTTCCTCGAGCTTGCTAGGCATGATCCCGCTTCTGGGCCTTCATATTTGCTGTTGCCTTGGCTTAGAATGCTCTCTCACCAAATATATAAATGGCTTGCCATTCACGTCCTTCAAGCCCACTCAGATTCAATGAGATTTTCTTTGACTTTTGTGTATGTACATATACAAACCTATATGGGCAAATACAAAACAAAGAAGGGTAGTTTTCCCAGCACAGTGTTCGAGCTCTAAGGGTAAAAAAAAATAATAATAATAGGCCGGGCGAGGTGGCTCAAGCCTGTAATCCCAGCACTTTGGGAGGCCGAGGCGGGTGGATCATGAGGTCAAGAGATCGAGACCATCCTGGTCAACATGGTGAAACCCCGTCTCTACTAAAAATACAAAAAATTAGCTGGGCATGGTGGCACGTGCCTGTAATCCCAGCTACTCAGGAGGCTGAGGCAGGAGAATTGCCTGAACCCAGGAGGCGGAGGTTGCGGTGAGCCGAGATCGCGCCATTGCACTCCAGCCTTGGTAACAAGAGCGAAACTCTGTCTCAAAATAAAAATAAAAATAAAAATAATAATAATAATAATAAAAGAAGAAGAAAAAAAAGAAGGGTAGTTCCTGTGAAGGAACTCCCTGGTATGTAAGAAGCTCTGTGACAGCAAAGATTATTGTCTCTTTTTTTTCACTGATGTGCCTAGGAGAGTCCTTTTACATAGTAGGTGCTCAATAAATGTCTGATGAAGAATGCACTTATTGATTTCCTATTATATGCCAGGAAGTATTCCAACATTTTTTTCACATATTAATTCATTTAAATCCACAACAATAATAGATACTGTGATGATCCCCAGTTTAAGATATCAGAACTGAAGCTTTGGGGAATTTAATGTGCTCAGGATCACCTCTTACATGTATTAAGACTCATTTTTGTTTGGGCATGGTGGCTCACGCCTGTAATCCCAGCACTTTGGGAGGCCGAGGCAGGCAGATCACAAGGTCGAGAGATCGAGACCATCCTGGCCAACATGAGGAAATCCCGTCCTATTAAAAATACAAAAATTAGCTGGGTGTGATGGTGCGCACCTGTAGTCCCAGCTACTCGGGAGCCGAGGCAGGAGAATCACTAGAACCCAGGTGGTGGAGGTTGCAGTGAGCCGAGATTGCACCACTGCATTCCACTCCAGCCTGGCGACAGAGGGAGACTCCTTCTAAAAAAAAAAAAAAAGACTCATTGTTCATTTAATCCTCAAGCAATAACAGATACTATTATCTTCCCTGTCATACAGATGGGGAAAGTAAAGTAAAGTTGACAGAATTTAATTTGCCAAAGATCACAGAGGAGCTGAGTTTTGAACTCATGTGGTTTGGTGCCACAGCCATTGTGTGTAGCTCCGTGCTTTGGCTCCAAGTCCTATTGCAAGGGGCTTTGCTTGTAGAGCAATATGAGAGGGAAGCAGCAACTTGAAATCAGGACCGTGGCCCATGTTGCTTTGGAGCCCAGTGGTGTCACCAGATCCTTCCTCTTGCTTTGCCTCCTCCCGACTCCACTTGGGTGAACAGGCTTTATTCCTGGCCTCAACCGTCAGGCTCAGGGAGACATGCCTGAAGGCTGTGCCCGTCCAGTTGGCACAGAAGCTTCCTGGGCTGACTTGGGGTTTCAAGTCCACTCACAACCAAAACTTTCAAAGGCAGTCTAGGACAGCCCTAGAGATCTGTGGTCACTGGGAGTGACTTAAAGGTCTCTCTCCTCCCAATGGTTCTTCTATCCCCGGCCATGCCTGATTCAGAAAATATCTTAACTAAGTCCCCACATGATGACCTTTCCACTTTGGCTTCATTGGCCTAGAGAAGTTGGTTCTGGGAACCCTGGTAGCTTCTGAGCCTTCTTGGTGGACAGGAAGGGAGGGGAGAGGATGGCTCTGTTTCCTGTTCCATCTGGTGGAATCAGCTGAACTCCCCAACTCCATCCCTTTTCAGGATTGCGCCAATCAGAAAGAGAAGCCTATGAGTTCATAGTGAAATTTCTAGAAGAAGAACATATGGTAAGAAACTTCTCTGATCCTTTTTGTGAACTGAGGAGGAAAGTAGAAAAAAAAAAGAGAGCTTATGCCTCCTGGGTTTTGGGTACTAGCCCTGGCTTGGAAGCCACCAGATACTCAGCCCGTTGTTGCCTCCTGACCAGGTAGATCTTAGGTAACTAGACCACTGGATGGGGTGTCTGGGGCTCAGATCTTGCAGTTCCCTACCTGTAGGAAGGATCTTCATCAGAGATCCCTACCCCACTGTCCCCCAGAGCCCTACATGGGCGGCCAGACATGGATGAGCAGCAGTCCTGGGGACAAGGACATTGTGCTGAGAAAATCGAGTGAGCAATCCATCCTTCGGCCTAGTTGATCAGAATCTGGGCTGGGTGTGAGGGGCAGGGGTGGGATGCAGGTCTCAGGTGCTGCCTATGGGTGGAGCTAAGGGCTGAGGCCCAGCTTATGGGCAGCAGTCTGTGTATTGTGTCCTAGTCCGAGTTCACCAAGCTGAAGTTCCTGAGGGCTGTGGAAACCTTGAGTTGTGCTGTGCATGCCCAGGCAGATGGCAATATGGACGATTACTACCCCAAAACCATCCTGGCCAAGAAAATCGAGGTGAGAAACACCCACACTCTGCTGGGAGTGGGTCTTTCAGGGATGAGGACGACAAGTCCCAGACCTGAGGACTGGCATCTCTCTCTGAGGGGGGTTCTTGGTTTTTTTGTTTTTGTTTTTTTCCTGGCCTTTCTAGATACTAATTCTTGAAGAATCCACTGAGAATTTGATGGGCAGCGTGCGTCAGCAAGCCATTCTCTGCATCGTGGCGCTGAGGTGCCTTTCCTGCTCTTACCCCTTCCGAGCCCCTAGGTCTCTGGTGCTGAGAACTTTTGGGTTGGGAGGAAGGGCAAGATTTGGGGATTTAAGTTATGGCTTGTGGGTGGCAGAGCCCTGATGGCTGCCACTTTATCTGCTTGCATCCTGGGGTGGAGGGGCTGTGTTCTCCAACTATACTTTTGGGAGCGTATTAGGACATTCAGTGAGGGAAGCTTCCCCAGCAGCCTGGCCCTCCCCCCCGGAGGAGAGGCCATTGGGAAGTGTTTGGGGGCTCAGGTCCCCACTGTTTCCTGTACCTCAGAGAAAGCAGCAGAGCACATTCTCCCAGAGAACATAACCCAGCAACATAACCCAGCAACATAAGCCAGGCTCTCCCAGGGACCCCTGAAGCTTCTTGTCATTCCCCGTCTCTTCCTGCAGCCAGGTGAATCCACCATTCCACTTGTCCCAGACACTGGACCTGGTAAATGTAGGTGTCTCCAGCATGTTCTCTCTGCCGCTCATTGTGCCCAGTCCGTGCCGAAGAGACAACACGAGTCTCTACCTCCAGGTAATCCGCACCTCTTCATGGGGAGCTCCACGGGGAGGGTTTGTCTTTGGAGTCACCTCCTGTCTCTCAACTCATCTCCCCTTCTCCTGCTCTGAACTCTCTGCAGAGCCCTTGGCCCATGACCCTCAGGCTGCTAAGAGGCACTCCAGCTGTCTTACCCTTGCCTGTCTTTCTGGGGATCTCCGGCCCATGCTCCCGCCCTATCCCTGTCCTTGCTCACTAAGGCTCACAGCACCTTCAGTTGTGGGAGGAGACAGTCTAATAATAAAACCCACAGATACTAGGGAGCAACTGACCAGTAGACTGCCAAATCTTCCCAGGGGCCTGCAGTTTTTTATTGTATTTTGAATTTTTAAATTTTGAGACAGGATCTCACTCTGTTGCCCAGGCTAGAGTATAGTGGTGCAATCATAGCTCACTACAGCCTCGACCTCTGGGACTCAAGCTATCCTCCCACCTCAGCCTTTGTAGTTTTAAAAATAGACGTTTCCTGAACCCAACAGAATGACTCTAATGCGGAGAGTCCCACGGGGTCTGGATTTCCTGGGGAGAATGGCCCAGTGCCTACATTTTACCACTGGGCCTGGTCCAGTCTTCACTGATGCCAAGAAAGGTCAGCACCAAGGAAGATCAGAGTGTGGCCGGTCATGAGAGAGGGAATGCAGGGGAGGCAGAGCCAGGCTGGCCCTAACTCCTTCCTCCTGAGGTAGGGGACAAGGAGATGGGGGAGTGCCCCCAGGGAGCCGAGCTGGCACTGTGGCAGTCTGTTCTGGACCCTCCCTGTCTCTTCACTTGTCAGACGGTCCAGGCCTTAGATGACATGTTGCAAGCTCTTGTGATGGACGACATGAGGCCCAACATGCTCATACTGCAAAACTTCCTGGAGGTAAGTGCCCGTGGAAACTGAAAACTGGGAAACTGATCAGGGAAACTGAAACTCCATGTTAATTCCAGCATGTTTGGGAGGAAAGGCAAAGAAGGTCAGGGTAGCCTGGGTGTCACTCTAGTCCAAAGACCACTGGTTCTCAAGCCTCAGCGTGCATAAGCATCACTTGAAAACAAATTTCTGTGTCTCCCATGATATATTGTTTCGAGGATCACATTTTGGAAGCCCAGCCAATTAAGCTGAGGACCCATTTCCCCCCAGAACTTGGACATACTAGGGCTTCAGAGGTAATAACATTTATATCCATGTCAGACTTTAATCTTCAAAGTATTTTCCCCTGTGGCAGAGCCTGCCGTTGCTCTGTGATAGAAATTTCAGTGCTTCACCATCCAGGCTACTGTTATATCCCTTAATGTAATCCCCACCAGAGACTCGAGGTACTTCCTTAACAGTCTTTAGAGATTTAAAGCGTTTCAAATATTCTTAGTTACAACAAATTGTTATCCCTTGAGAGTAGTTTGAGTTGGGAAACAGCCAACAGTCACTTGAAACCGACTTTCATGAACAGGATGGTAGTCAATTAGGGTAATACAATTTTGCATAAAACATTAGGTGTGACTGCAAATAAGGAGACAGGGTTGCCGAGGCATCTTCTAAAAAGACCTTGACAAGGGCTTTAGCTGGAGGGAGATTTGTCCACATTTGGATGAGTGACACAGTTCTTTTGGAATGTGCCATCCCTGGTATGTTTGTTGAGAAGGATTTTTGTGCTTTTTAGTCAACCTTGCTATAAATGTAAGAACAAATGTTCTTCTGTTGTACTTGGAGTCTGTGGGGAACAGAGATGCAAAACTTTGGTCCTGGTCAGGGTAGAGTCTTCAAGAGATTCATTACTAAGGTTCTCATTATCCAAAGATAAACGGTGCCCTGCAAAAGTACCACCCAAAACAGGTTCCAACATTTTGTAGGAGGAATCAATTTATCTTGATAAATAAAATAGAAAGTATAAAAATGAGTTATTTTTATGTGTAATAAAATTATATTTGCTCTGGACGCCGTGGCTCACACCTGTAATCCTGGCACTTTGGGAGGCCAAGGCAGGGAGATCACAAGGTCAAGAGTTTGAGACCAGCCTGGCCCATATGGTGAAACCCCGTCTCTACTAAAAATACAGAAGTTAGCCAGGCGTGGTGGCAGACAGCTGTAGTCCCAGCTACTCAGGAGGCTGAGGCAGGAGAATAGCTTGAACCCAGGAGGTGGAGGTTGCAGTGAGCTGAGATCATGCCATTGTACTCCAGCCTGGGTGACAGAGCCAGACTCTGTCTCAAAAAATTAATTAAAATTTATATTTGCCCCAGATGCTGTGGCTCATGCCTATAATCCCAGCACTTTGGGAGGCTCAGATGGGCAGATCTCGAGGTCAGGAGTTCGAGACCAGCCTGACCAACATGGTGAAACCCCCGTCTCTACTAAAAAATCAAATTAGTCAGGCATGGCAGCACACACCTATAATCCCAGCTGCTCAGGAGGCTGAGGCAGGAGAATCCCTTCAACCCGGGAGGTGGAGCTTGCAGTGAGCCAAGATCACACCACTGTACTCCAGCCTGGGTGACAGAATGAGACTCTGTCTCAAAAAAAAGAAAAAAATTATATTTGCTGTCTTGAGATAATTCTCAGTCAAGTGTGTATACTTTAGACATGTTTTTTCCTACAAGATGATATGATAGCATAATACAGCATCATTTATTTCACATTTGACTTTGCATAGCTGGATCAGAAAGGTCAAATTTGAGGGCTATATGTTTTCTTAAGGGACCTCCTTTTCTTTTGTCATCTTTTCTTTTTTCTTTTTTTGGGGGGAGGGATGGAGTCTCGCTCTGTCGCTAGGCTAGAGTGCAGTGGTGCGATCTTGGCTCACTGCAACCTCTGCCTCCCGGGTTCACGTGATTCTCCTGCCTGAAGCGATTCTCCTGCCTCAGCCTCCTGAGTAGCTGGGATTACAGGTGTGCGACACCATGCCCAGCTAATTTTTGTATTTTTTAGTAGAGACGGGGTTTCACCATGTTGGCAAGGCTGGTCTCAATCTCCTGACCTTGTGATCCACCCACCTTGGCCTCCCAAAGTGCTGGGATTACAGGTGTGAGCCACTGCACCCGGTTTTGTTTTCCATTTTTAAATTAAGGTATAATTTCCATATGGTATAATTCAGCTTTTAGTGTGTAGACCTGTGGGATTTGACAAATGCATGCAGTCCCGTAACTATAGCCACGATGAAACTATAGAGCAGTTCTATCACTCCCCAAATTCCCCCATAACTCTTTATGGTCAGCCCCTTCCCCATTCCCTACCCCAGGCAATGGCTGATTGGTTTCCTGTCCCTATATCGTCTAGGTGCAGTGGTTCATGCCTATGGTCCCAGCACTTTGGGAGGGTGAGGTAGGCGGATCATCTGAACCCAGGAGTTTGAGACCAGCCTGGGCAACATATGAGACCCCACCTCTACTAAAAATAAAAAAATACATATTAGCTGGGCATGGTGGTGTGCACCTGTTGTCACGGCTACTGGGGAGACTGAGCTGGGTGATTGCCTGAGGCCCGGATACTGAGGCTGCAGTGAGCTGTGACAGTGCTGCTGCACTCCAGCCCGGGCAACAAAGCTAGACCCTGTCTCAAAAGTAAATAAATAAATAAGAGAATCAAAATATTATCTAAGGCCGAGTACTCCAGGCAACAAATTGAGACCCTGTCTCAAAAATAAATAAATAAAAGAATTAAAATGTTATCTAAGTCTGGGTACAGTGGCTCATACCTGTAATTCCAGCACTTTGGGAGGATCTCTTGAGCCCAGGAGATCAAGACCAGCCTGGGTAACAGAGACTCCATCTCTACAAATAATAAAAAAGTCATCTGGGCATGGTGTTGTGTGCCTGTGGCCCCAGCTGCTTGGGAGGCTGAGGTGGGAGGATCACCTGAGCCAAGGAGGTCGAGGCCGCAGTGAGCTGTGATCATGCCACTGTACTCCAGCCTGGACAACAGAGGGAGACCTTGTCTCAAATTAAAAAAAAAAAAAAAAAAGTCATCTAAATGGAGTTATCTAGTAGACAGTCTCTGGAGTCTGCTTTCATTTAGCAGAATGAATCTGAGATTTATTCACGTTGTTATGTGTGTCAGTACTTTGTTTCTCTTTATTTTTTAATTGGGTAGACAGATCACAGTTTGTACATTCATTTTGCAGTTGAGGAACTTTTCGGTTGTTTCCAGACTGGGACCATTACAAATACAGCTGCTATAAATCTTTGTGTACAGACTTTTACATGAACATAGGTTTTTATTTCCCTTGGGTAAATCTCTTGGAGTGAGATTGTTATGTTGTATGGCATGTGGGTGTTTGACTTTATAAGATTCCTCCTCCAGGCTGTGCACGGTGGCTCATGCCTGTAATCCCAGCAGTTTGGGAGGCCAAGGTGGGCAGATCACCTGAGGTTGGGAGTTTGAGACCAGTGTGAACAACATGGAGAAACCCTGTCTCTACTAAAAATACAAAATTAGCTGGGCGTGGTAGTGCATGCCTGTAATCCCAGCTACTCGGGAGGCTGAGGCAGGAGAATTGCTTGAACCTGGGAGGCAGAGGCTGCGGTAAACTGAGATCATGCCATTACACTTTAGCCTGAGCTAAAACTTTAGCCTGAACAAAACTCCACCAAAAAAAAAAAAAAAAATACTTCCAAAGTGTTTTCCCAAGTGGCCATACCATTTCCATTCCCACTAGCAATGTGTGAGAGTTCCGGTTGCTCTGCATCCACGCCAGCATGTGGTATTGTTAGGTTTCCCTGTAGTCATTCTTACAGATGTGTAGTGGTATCTCTTTGTGGTTTTCACTTGCATTTCCTAGTGACTTATGTTGGGTACCTTTTCATAGACTTACTTGCCAGCCGTCTACTTGTGTGCTTTGATGAAGTGTCTGTTTAAATCTTTTGCCCATTTTTTTTTGTTTGTTTTGAGATGGAGTTTTGTTCTTGTTGCCCAGGCTGGAGTACAATGGCATGATCTCTGCTCACCGTAACCTCTGCCTCCCAGGTTCAAGCGATTCTTCTGCCTCAGTCCCCCAAATACCTGGGATTACAGGCACCCACCACCATGCCTGGCTAATTTTGTAATTTTTTTAGTAGAGACAGGGTTTCTCCATGTTGGTCAGGCTGGTCTCGAGCTCCCAACCCCAGGTGATCCGTTGGCCTCAGCCTCCCAAAGTGCTGGGATTACAGGCATGAGCTAACACACCCAGCCTGTCCTTTTTTTTTTTTTTTTTTTTTTTCTTTAAGGTTATTTGCTTATTTGGGGATTTGAGAGCTCTTTATTTTATTTTATTTGAGATAGGGTCTTACTCTTGCCCAGGCTGGAGAGTAGTGATACCATCACTGATCACTGCAGCCTCAAACCTCCCCGAGAGACATTCCCACCTCAGCCTCTTGAGTAGCTAGGACCATAGGTGTGTGCCACCATGCTCCACTAATTTTTGAATTTTATGGACCAGGCACAGTGGCTCACACCTGTAATCCCACCACTTTGAGAAACTGAAGCCAGCGGATCACTTGAGGTCAGGAGTTCAAAACCAGCCTGGCCAAGTGGCAAAACCCCGTTTCTACTAAAAATATAAAAATTAGCCAGGCATGGTGCCATGTGCCTGTAATCTCAGCTACTGGGGTGGCTGAGGCAGGAAAATCTCTTGAACCTGGGAGAAGAGGGTTGCAGTGAGCCAAGATCACACCACTGCACTCCAGCCTGAGCAACAGAATGAGACTTCGTCTCAAAAAAAATAAAAAAATAGGAGGCTGAGGCAGGAGAATTGCCTGAACCCAGGAGGCGGAGGTTGCGGTGAGCTGAGATCGGGCCATTGCACTCCAGCCTGGGTAACAAGAGTGAAACTCCGTCTCAAAATAAATAAATAAATAAATATATAAAATAAATAAATTATGTAGAGATAGGGTCTCCCTATGTTGCCCATGCTGGTCTTGAGCTCCTGGGCTCAAGCAATCCTCCTGCCTTGACCTCCCAAAGTGCTGGGATTACAAGTGTGAGCTACCATCCCCAGCCTTAAAAGCTCTTTGTATATTTTGGATATAAATCTTTTGTCAGATATATGATTTGCAGACATTTTCTCCCATTTTGTGGCCTGACTTTATATAGCGTCTTTTTTTTTTTTTTGAAATGAAGTGTCACTCTGTCAGCCAGGCTGGAGTGCAGTGGCGCGATCTCAGCTCATTAATCTTCCATGTTCAAGCAATTCTTCTGCCTCAGCCTCCCCAGTAGCTGGGATTACAGGCACACGCCAGCATACCCAGCTAATTTTTGTATTTTTAGTAGAGACAGGGCTTCACCATTCTGACCAGGCATTTATTGAAAGCCGACAACATATTGAACTCCCGACTTCGGGTGACCCACCCGCCTTAGCCTCCCAAAGTTCTGGGATTACAGGCGTGAGCCACCACACCTGGCCCTGTGTGTTAAGATACCCATCTTAACGGTATCTTTTGAAGAGCAGGTAGTTATTCATTTTGATAAAGTCCAAATTATTATTTTTATAGTTATACTTTCTTTGTATTATGTAGGAATTTTTGCCTTCCTTAAGTATTTTCTCCTTTTCTTCTAGAGTCTCATCGTTTTAGATTTTAAGTCTGTGGTCAATTCTGAATTCACTTTTGTATTGGATGGTTAGGTATACATTGTGGTTCATTTTCCTTTTTTTGGCACATGGCTGTCCGTGACGGGGTTCAATGCCTTGGGAGAAAGACTACCCTGAAGGACACCTGTCCAGCAGCTGTGATACAGGACACACTTTTCCAAAAGTTTGCAGCAAGCAGGGCACAGGCCTCTCTTACCTGGTGGGACCTCAACCTGGTGTAGTAATATAATGCTTACAGGGTTTCTGGGAGGATAGAGTGAGTTATTCTATTCAGAATACTTACCTGTGTCACGATTATCATTAACCTCCAGAAATGAACGGCTCTGAATCTCATCCTTCAGAGGCCACTTTACCCCTTCCTCTGGCCTAGCAGGTAGGGGTTTGTATGGACATGCTGTCAAGAGAGCCCTGTCTCCCCACCTTATCGCATTCCTGCTTGTCCATTGCCTTGTAATTCTACATCTAAGGCACAGCACTGTCTGTCAGAAGAGACCCAGAAGGTAGCAGGTGAAGCCCCAGAGACTTTTTTTTTGAGATGGAGTTTCACTCTTGTTGCCCAGGCTGGAGTGCAATGGCATGATCTCGGCTCACCACAACCTCTGCCTCCTGGGCTCAAGCGATTCTCCTACCTCAGCCTCCTGAGTAGCTGGGACTACAGGCATGTGCTACCACACCCAGCTAATTTTGTATTTTTAGTAGAGACAGCGTTTCTCCATGTTGGTCAGGCTGATCTTGAACTCCTGACCTCAGGTGATCCGCCTGCCTCAGCCTCCCAAACTGCTGGGATTACAGGCATGAGTCACTGTGCCCGGTCAGCCCCGGAGACTCTTAAACACACCTTTGCTTTGCCAAGTTCATGGGCTGTGCACTCTGGCGCCTGCCATGACTTCCTCCTTTTTGTCTTTCTGACAGTCAGGAATGTGGAATCAAGAGAAGGAAGGGAGCAGCACTCCCACAGCAGGTGTCACAAGGTCTCTTTGCTCCTTTTCCAGATCATCTTGCCTTGGTCATTACTGTCAGACAAAGTGCACGAACAGACGCGGGCCTTGGGCACTATTTCCCGGCTGCTGAGGTTTATTTGCAATTTCCCTGAACTGTCAGTGAGTGCTTGGAGTGGGGGAAAAGGCTGACCCAGTGGGCCCTGCTTCTCTGCACATGGGGTATCTGAGAGCCTATGGCTCCGCAGAGGGTTACTGGGGGGTGGGTGATCACAGTGTCCCTCTTTTTTTTTGCATTAGTGCCTTTTCTGTTCCTATGGGGTATGAGGCTTAACTTGTTTGCTTGCTCTGCCCTTGGCCAAGTGAGTTCCCATTGGCTGGACACATCTCAGCCTTGTTGGGGAACCTGGGCCTAAACAGCTGGGTTGGGTCCACAGCTTCCCATTGGCTACATGTTTCAGGGATCTGCCTGCTCATTTCCCTGGGTGCTGCTTTGAAAAGTTTTTCTTGGCCAGGGAGAGTGTGGAGCTGGTGAGGTGAGGCGATGCATGCAGGCAAATGATTTAGTGGTGTGGAGGGGCAGAGAGGTTGAACAGAGGTGGTGGCCACAGTGCAGGGAAGTCCCTTTTGGGATGGTGGGGAGTTAACCAGTTTCCTCTTCCGGGCAGCACATGGAGAAATTCGCGATGAGTGGGAAACTGATGAGCATCTTGGGCCTCTTCTGCATGGACTGCAACCAAGAGATCAGCATAGAGGCATCAGAGGCATTGCATTACCTGTTCAAAATCCTTGTGCTGCAGAGAAGTAAGCACTATGAGCCTGGGTGGCCATTGGGCTGCAGCCGTGGGGATCCATGAATAGCAAAAGCATATACGCACTATTCACTGAATGCTCGCATTGTGTCAGGCACATGATAAAGGGCAGTTTCTTCTCACGAGGGCACTGGAGTAAATATGCTAAGATGCCCCAAGATGAGGGAGCCCCGTTACAAGTAGATCTGGAAACTGTCTGGATGAGCTACACCCCCTTGGCTGATGCCATGCCCTCTTGTATGAGATTCTCGGGGAAAAGTGGAGTTAGGCTTGCAGCCACCTATGGAACCAACTTGGACACTCGGTGTTTTCCAGTGGTCCCAGCCTTACTGCTAGGCCTAAGACTGAGAAAATGAACATATTTTCTTAGGGAATAAATTGAGCCCGTCTTTGCTCAAGGAAAACAAAAAATACAAATAGCCATACATGCTTACAGAGGTGCCAGGAGGATTTGCAAATATCCTTAAAAGGAGTTTCAGAAACTCTGACTTCTCATGGTTCCATAGGGCATACTTCTCATGAGGGCATTTGCTCAGCACTCGTAGGTAGAACAGCGCAGGGGCAGCTGCACGGATCAGACTGAGTCCCCAGCCACATTCTCCCTCCACCCATTGGCTGGTGCTGGGGAACCCTCCCCAATCTGTTGAGCAAATGTTATTTCACCCATTTCACTCTGTTGATCTTCTCTGAGGTTTGGAGCAGAAATAAAGAAGGGTGTGTTCCTTTTTCCCTGTTAAGGCCCTGCCCCTTAATTGTTGTTTTTGGATTGTAGGTGAGAAACAGAAGACAGAGACTATCCTGAAGGATTTACAGAAACATTTCCGTGGGGAATGGCTTGCTAGCCTGCAGGATCTAACACTGGTAACCCTCACTCTCCACAGTGCATGAAACACCCAAATGGGGACCTATGGCAGGGAAGAAGGAGAGCTGGGGTGGGGAGATTGTAGAGGGCCTGGGTGGGACCACAGAGGAGTAATCCTTCACCCAGGGGAGTGTCTCCAAAGCTCAAGGTCTCCTGGACAGCAGGCTGGAGGGGTAAGGCCCATCCTCTAGCTGCACTTGAGTTGACTGAGGCTTGAGGTCACTGAGAGAGCTCTTTTTTGAGACGGAGCTTTGCTCTTGTTGCCAGGCTGGAGTGCAGTGGCATGATCTCGGCTCACTGCAACGTCTGCTTCCCAGGTTTAAGCAGTTCTCTTGCCTCAGCCTCCTGAGTAGCTGGGATTACAGGCCTGTGACATCATGCCTGGCTAATTTTTTGTATTTTTAGTAGAGATGGGGTTTCACCATGCTGGCCAGGATGGTCTTGAACTCCTGAGTGATCTACCTGCCTTGGCCTCCCAAAGTGCCGGATTACAGGCATGAGCCACCGTGCCTGGCCGAGAGTTCTTTAAAAGAAGTATAGTCGGCCCTATTCTCCTCCTACAGATTGTGTCCTTGTGCCTTGTTTATAGCCTGGCCTTAATTTTGTTCATTCAGTAAAGATGTATTGGTGGTCTTAGATATGGCATCTTCAGGCTCAGTCAACTCAAATCGCTCCATTCAGGAGTCCTCCCTTGCTCTCTCCTCTCCCTCACTCTCCACATCCAGTTGAACGCCAGGTTTGTTCGTTCTGCCCTCTGGATATCTCTTCCTGCTCCAGCCATACTGTAGGGCCCCCAGCGTCTCTTGCCTGGGTCACTGCAGCAGCCCCTTACTGATCATCCTGTTTCCGACTATGCGTCTTGTCACAGCATTTTCCATGCCACAGTCAGAGAACTGCGCTTCTAAAATTTATTATTTTTAATAATATTATTTAAAATAATAAATAAAACTATAATAAATACATAATGAAAATTATTATTCCCCTTCAGACTTTGCACTGACTTCCCACCGTCCTCAATCTAAAGTGCAAACTTGGCCAGGCATGGTGGCTCACGCCTGTAATCCAAGCACTTTGGAGGCCAAGGCGGGCTGATCACCTGAGGTCGGGAATTCAAGGCCAGCCTGACCAACATGGTGAAACCCCGTCTTTATTTAAAAAAAAAAAAAAAGTGCAAACTTGCTCACTTGACCCACAAGCCCCTTCATGACCTGGTCTCTGCTGTAACTGTCCTGCCTCATCTTGTCTCAGCCTCTCTTTTCCACTGGCCCAGGTCTCCCTTGCAGGATTCAGTAGTGAGGCTGAACTTTCCTCCACTCCAGGCCTTTGCACATTCTGTGCCCTCTGCCTGGAACTCTGTCCTTCTTTTTCCTGGGGTCTGAATCATGGCAGAAGGGGAGGCAAACACATCCTTCTTCACATGGTGGCAGGAAGGAGAAGTGCTGAGCAAAGGAGAAAAGCCCCTTATAAAACCATCAGATCTTGTGAGAACTCACTCACTGTCACGAGAATAGCACGAGGGTAACTGCCCTGACCCACGGGGATTATGGGAACTACAATTCAAGATGAGATTTGGGTAGGAACACAGCCAAACTGTATCACTCATATGGCACTATAACTGCCTGTTTACTTGCCCGTACTTGATGGTAAATTCCTTGAGGGTAAAGGCATTGTATGTCTTAGTCGCAGTTGTCACCAGTTCCCAGCAATAGAACCAGGCACAGAGCTCGGCCTGTATATTGTTTGAGGGAATGAGCTCACGTGGATATGTAGGTGTGCACTCAGAGGCGTGAGGCATGTCTGCTGTACATAACAGCAATCCTACTTGCATGGAATGCTGCAAGCTCACTAAACATCAGAACTCATTTCTAATGTACTCACTTACTTGCATTCCAAATCAAAGAGGAAATGGCTTTTGCATTGTCCTCTGGACCACTGCTCCTTCCTGGAGACTTTGGAGCTGGTGGCACTCTGAAGCTTGGCTCACACCATGGAATAGCCAGATGCTGGCCAGGGACCGCCTCCACTGGCCCCTGGTTCATTGGTCTCTTTGGAGACCAGAGCCTTTGGGGCAGACCTAAGTTGGGATGCTGGCATTGTGGAGACAGCTGTTCTTCTTTCTCCAGTTCTTCGGGAAATACCTGACCCCTGAGGAGAGAGCGGATGTGATCATGGTGACCATGGAGGCCATGACCAACACCACCAGGCATGACATCTCCGCAGCTTCCAAGATGTTAAAGATGATCCTGAAGTACATGATTCCAGAGATTGGGAAGGTAGCAGCTCTGGGGACCTAGTGGGTCAAGGTCAATTTAGGAATTCTTCCTTTCTGTTCTCTTTTGGGTCTTGTTCTATCTCCTACCAGTTTGGAGTTTAAAGAATCACCATGCTTCAACCCACAGGAGAAAAGGTTGAATGAGGAGTTGTTTGTGATTGTGGAAAAGACTCTTCTGTGGGAAAGGGTGACCATCTGGCCTCCATCTCCACCAGGATGGGAAGAAGAATTGAGTCAATGCTATAGCAGACTGCTAGGGGCTCCTAGGACCAGGCAAGACCTCAGTCATCCTTCCTGGGTCCAGACAGTATTTGATATGTTAGATCTATAGGTGCCTTCTTCTTTATTCAGGAGGGAAGATTCAGGGGTGTATAGATATTTATATTTGTACATATATATATATATGTGTGTGTGTGTGTGCGTGCGTGCGTGTGTGTGTGTGTGTTTACATACACAGCCATAAACTCATGAGACTCTAATGTAAGTAGAGATGAAATACAGAGACTCCTTTATGACAGCTGGGACTGGCTCTCAGTAAAATGAAGACTGCATAGGGCTAGGCAAGTGGCTTACACCTGTAATCCTAACACTTTGGGAGGCAGAGGCAGGTGGATCACGAGGTCAGGAGTTCCAGATCAGCCTGGCCAACATGGTGAAACCCCATCTCTACTAAAATACAAAAAATTAGCCAGGTATGGTGGCAGGCGCCTGTAATCCCAGCTACTCAGGAGGCTGAGGCAGGAGAATCGCTTAAACCCATAAGGCGGAGGTTGCAGTGAACCAAGACCGTGCCGTAGCACTCTAGCCTGAACAACGGAGCAAGACTCCATCTCAAATACTAATAATAATAATAATCAAGTTAAGACAGCACAGTTTAGCTGTCCTTTTTATTACAGTGTTTTAAAAGATCTTATGGGATGATGGAGTCCCTCTCATTTCAATGGCCTAACCCACTTCTCTACCTCCCTTACCTCTCCACAATAGGCCCTATTAGCAGTTCAGGAATCTTACACTTTCCACTTCTCTGGCCTGGATTTCCATTTGATTGAATACCTCAGAGCAGACCACAGATAAGCTCCTAGAGTTGAAGGGGACCCCAGAGGTCGACTCTAACTCCCCACTTGATGCTTGCAATCTCTTTTGAATGTTTCAAATCTATTTTGTATGGAATGCTTCACGAATCTGCATGTCATCCTTGTGCAGGGGCCATGCTAATCTTCTCTGACTAAAAATCATCCAATTATAGCGTATGTAAAGCACGCACAATGCTTGTAATCTCTTGGAGAGCACCCCAGACCACTGGACAGCCAGACTGTGCTGAAAGCAACCTTGAGGTGTTCACCACCTTAAACCATAGCTCATTTGTATTTGTAAACTATTTGCTTTTTTTATAAAAAAAATAATTTTTAATTTACAAAAAGGATATATATTTATGGCATACAACATGATGTTTTGAAATATCTATACATTGTGAGATGGTTGAGCCAAGCTAATTAACATACCCATTAATTCACATGCTTATTTTTTTGTAGTGAGAACATTGAACACCTACCATCTTCGCAATTTTCTTATACAGTAGATCTGAACTTATTTCTCCTGTTTAAATGAAATTTTGTATCCTTTGACCAATATCTCCCCAATCCTCCTAACCTCCAGCTCCTGATAACCACCATTCTACTCTCTGCTTCTATTAATTTGACTTTTTTAGATTCCACATCTAAGTAAGATCACCCAGTATCTGTCTTTCTATACCTGGCTTGTTTCGCTTTTCATAATGTCCTTCAGGTTCATGTATATTATTACAAATGACAGGGTTTTCTTTTTTTTTTATTTTGAGATGAAGTCCCGTTCTTGTCCTCCAGGCTGGAGAGCAACGGTGCAATCTCAGCTCACTGCAACCTCTACCTCCCGGGTTCAATCGATTCTCCTGCCTCAGCCTCTTGAGTAGCTGGGATTACAGGTTCCTGCCACCACGCCCAGCTAATTTTTGTATTTTTAGTAGAGACAGGGTTTCATCATGTTGGCCAGGATGATCTTGAACTCCTGACTTCAGGTGATCTGCCTGCCTCAGCCTCTCAAAGTGCTAAGATTACAGGTGTGAGCCACTGGGCCCAGCCTCCTTCATTTTTAAGGGTGAATAGCATTCCATTGCATATAAGTCACATTTTCTTTATCCATTCATCTGTTATTGGAAGCTTAGGTCCTTTCTTTATCGTGGCTATTACAAAAAATGCTGCAATAAACTGGGGAGTGCAGATATCTCTTCATTTTCTTTGGCTATATACTTATAAGTGATATTGGTAGTTTTAGCTTTTCGAGTAACCTCCATAATGTTGGAAGTTTCCTTTTTATTTTTTCTTTGAGATGGAGTCTTGCTCTGTTGCCCAGGTTGGAGTGCAGTGGCTCAATCTCAGCTCATTGCAACCTCTGCCTACCGGGTTCAAGCGATTCTCCTGCCTCAGCCTCCTGAGCAGCTGGGACTACAGTCATGTGCCACCATGCTTGGCTAATTTTTTGTATTTTTTTTTTTTTTTGAGACGGCGTTTTGCTCTTGTTACCCAGGCTGGAGTGCAATGGCGCGATCTCGGCTCACCGCAACCTCCGCCTCCTGGGTTCAGGCAATTCTCCTGCCTCAGCCTCCTGAGTAGCTGGGATTACAGGCATGTGCCACCATGCCCAGCTAATTTTTTGTATTTTTAGTAGAGACAGGGTTTCACCGTGTTGACCAGGATGGTCTCGATCTCTTGACCTCGTGATCCACCCGCCTCGGCCTCCCAAAGTGCTGGGATTACAGGCTTGAGCCACCGCGCCCGGCGTATTTTTTTTTTTTTTTTTAGCAGAGATGAGGTTTCACCATGTTAGACAGGATGATCTTGATCTCCTGACCTAGTGATGCACCCACCTCTGCCTCCCAAAGTGCTGGGATACAGGTGTGAGCCACACGCCCAGCAGGAATTTTCCATAATGGTTATGCTAATTTACATTCCATCAACAGTGTGTAAGGGTGAACCACTTTCTTTACCTAAAAGTTCTAACTTACAGAGCACTGAAATCCGCATCCCTATAGTTTCTAGTCCCTGGCTCGAGTTTGTCTTCTGGGGTTATGCAGAACACAGTTAATATTCAAGTGTTCCTAATGCTAGGTGTTATATACTATGCTAACTTCTTTTATGTTCTTTTATTAAGTTCTTACATGTTCTTTTATTAAGTTCTTACAACGTATCTGTTGTAATTATTATTTTCTCTTTAGAAATGAGAAGGCCCAATACAGTGTCTCACACTTGTAATCCCAGAACTTTGGGAGGCCCAGGCAGTAGGATCGCTTGAGTTTAGGAGTTTAAGACCAGCCTGGGTAATAGAGCAAGACCTCATTTCTACTAAAAATCAAAATAATTACTTGTGCATGGTGGTGTGCACTTGTAAGCCCAGCTACTAGGGAGGCTGAGGTGAGAGGATTGCATGAACCCAGGAGATGGAGGCTTTGCAGGAGCTATCATTGCGCCACTGCACTCCAGCTGGGGCAACAGAGCTAGACCCTGTCTCAAAAGAAAAACAAAATGAGAAAAGGCTCAAAGAGGTGACGAGCCTTAATTACTGAAGTTCTTGAGCAGTTATTATGTGACAGACACTGCTCCAACCAATTCAGATGCATTAACTCAGAACTGTTGATGTAAGTAAAATTGTCCTCATGTTTTGCTGGAGGAAATAGAACACAGAGGGGATGAAAAGCTTTTCCAAACTTGCACAGTGAGTAAGTGGGGAAGTAAAATTCACATCCAGGGAATGTGACTTCAGAGTTCATGCTGTCCACCACCTGCTGCCTCCAGCCCACGTGGACAGTAAACAGCAAGGACTGACTCTTCCCTCCCTCCATAATAGTCTTGAGACCCCTTGGAGGCAGCAATTCTATGCCCTCTGTCTTCCTTTCTCTAAGTTACTCATCCTCAGATTCTTCCTTCATTCTTCATGACATGTTTTCCAGACATGGTTCTGGTCTCCCCCGACTGCTCTCTATTTTGTCCCTCTTAAAATACGGGGGCTGTTCTGTGGTGGGCAGGTCTGTATGAAGCTACCCTTAAAGTCCAAGGAAGCTGAGAGGTCAAAGAAAGAGGTTGATTAATCCAGTTTCTGAGAAACATTTAATACTGACTTAAAAGCAGAAGCCATGCCGGGTACAGTGGCTCACGCCTGTGATCCCAGCACTTTGGGAGGCCGAGGTGGGCGGATCACTTGAGGTCAGGAGTTTGAGACCAGCCTGACCTACGTGGCGAAACCCTGTCTCTACTAAAAATACAAAAATTAGCTGGGCATGGTGGCATGTGCCTGTAGTCCCAGCTACTCAGGAGGCTGAGGCAGGAGAATAGCTTGAACCTGGTGGGCAGAAGTTGCAGTGAGCTGAGATTGTGCTGCTGTACTCCAGCCTGGTGACAAAGTCAGACCAAAACAAAACAAAACAAAACGGAAGCCATGTCCACCATGAGATGGTGGACCCAGCCACCACCCATCACGGCCCAAGGCTTCTGCGCAATAGGAGTTGGGCATGGTGGGTGTCCCCTCGTCCCAGCTACTGGGAGGCTGAGGTGTAAGCCCAGGACTTCAAGGCTGCAGTGAGCTCTGAGCATGCCACTACCCTGTCTCTAAGAAACAAACAAACAAACAAACAAATATGCCTTAGAGAAGGAATGTGTAGGACAATTAAAACCAACCCCTCAGGAAAAAGCAAGAAGGCTATGCAAATCTGCCGTAAGGGCAGGATTTATGGTTAAGATTGTTTTGACCTAAGGACAGGATTTACAATAGACAAAGTAGAAATCTTAGAGGCATTCTGGGAACAAAGCTTAATCAGAAGTCAGTATGGTGGCCAAAACGAAAAGAACAGAACAAAATAAAACAAAAAGAAAAAAAAAAGCCAATATGGTGGGCCAGGCGCTGGGGCTCACGCCTGTGACCCTAGCACTTTGAGAGGCTGAGGCAGGTGGATTGCCTGAGCTCAGGAGTTCCAGACCAGCCTGGGCAACATGGCAAAACCCTGTCTCTAATAAAAATACAGGCTGGTCGAGGTGGCTCACGCCTGTAATCCCAGCACTTTTGGAAACTGAGGTAGGTGGATCATGAGGTAATGAGTTTGAGACCATCCTGACCAACATGGTGAAACCCTGTCTCTACTAAAAATACAAAAATTAGCCAGACTTTGTGATGAATGCCTGTAATCCCAGCCTCTCAGGAGGCTGAGGCAGGAGAAGTGCTTGAACCTGGGAGGCAGAGGTTGCAGTGAGCCAAGAGCATGCCATTGTACTCCAACCTGGGCGACAGAGTGAGACTCTGCCTGAAAACAAAACAAAACAAAAATTAGCCAGACATGATGGCATGCACCTGTGTTCCTAGCTACTCAGGAGGCTGAGGCAGGATAATCACTTGAACCCGGGAGGTGGAGGTTGCAGTGAGCCGAGTGAGCTGAGATGGCGCCACTGCCCTCTAGCTCCGAGGGCGACAGAGCGAGACTGTCTCAAAAAAAAAAAAAAAAGTCAATATGGTAGATTAGCATCCAATCTGGAGTTTCTTCAGGCCCCATAGGGTCCAAGACAGTCCACAGTCCCGAGGGTGTGGCCTGACCAGGGCAAAGTGCAGTGGGACGGTGACTTCTTTGGTCTGGACATGCTATGTAAGCATTGTGTGCAGCCCTACAAGCGAAGCGGGTGCCTAGTTATGTGAATGCTGGTGAGCTGATGCTGAGTGTCTGGAAAGAACCTCCTTTTCCCTCATTTCAGGTGCCGGAAATCATCCAGTACATTTACTACCACATGAACAGCATTACGGAAACCACGGCCCTAAAGACCGTCAGGAAGATCCTGTATCTGCTGTCCCAGTCCTATACTGATGAAGTTATCCTGACACTATTTAAGATAGAAGATCAGTCACAAAAGTAGGTGACTTTCAATTCCACACGTACATGCCCCCAGTAGTTTATTTGCTTCTTTTTAACACATACTCAGGCCGGGCGCGGTGGCTCATGTCTGTAATCCCAGCACTTTGGGAGGCCACGGCGGGTGGATCACTTGAGGTCAGGAGTTCGAGACCAGCCTGGCCAACATGATGAAACCCCATCTCTACTTAAAATCCAAAAATAAGCGGAGCGTGGTGGTGAGCGCCTGTAGTCACAGCTACTTGGGAGGCTGAGGCAGGAGAATCGCTTGAACCTGGGAAGCGGAGGTTGCAGTGAGTCAAGATGGCACCACTGCACTCACTCCAACCTGGGAGACAGCGTGAGACTGTCTCAAAAAAAAAAAAGTAGCTATTCTAACAAGTGTGGGGTAGCCTCTCATTGTGATTTTAATTTGCATCTCCCTAATTCAATTGCAACTAAGGAAGATGGGCATCATTTCATGTCTTTCTTTGCTGTTCATATGTCTTCTTTGTCAAGCATTCAAGTCTTTTACCCATTTCATGGTTGGGTTGTTTGTTTTCTTATTGGTGAGTTTTGAGAGGTCTTTATATATTCTATACACAAGTCTTTTGCCAGATGTTTGATTTTCATGTATATCTCCCATTTTGTGGACCATCTTTTCATTCTCTTAAGAGTTCAAAAGTTTTTAATTTGATGAAATCCAACATTTTGTTTCTTATGGATCATATTTAGGGTCATAGGTATTTCTTTCCATGTTTTCTTCTAGAAGCTTCAGCTTTTGTGTTTTATATTTATGTTTATATTTCATTTTTGCTTAACTTTTTGGAAAGTGTGAGGAATGGGTCAAGGTTCAGTTTGTTGCACATAGAAGTCTCATTGTTCCAGCACCATTTGTTGCAGAGATTATCATTTCTCCACTGAATTGTCTTTGCACATGTATCAAATATCAATTGATGGCTGGGCGTGGTGGCTCACACCTGTAATCCCAGCACTTTCAGAGGCCAAGGTGGGCGGATCACTTGAGTTCAGGAGTTGGAGACCACTCTGGCCAAGATGGCGAAACCCCATCTCTACTAAAAATACAAAAATTAGCTGGGCATGGTGGCTTGCACCTGTTATCCCAGCTACTTGGGAGGCCAAGGCATGAGAATCACTTGAACCAGGGAGGCGGAGCTTGAGGCCAGCCAAGATTGCACCATTGCACTCCAGGCTGGGTGGCAGAGACGCTGTCTCAAAATAAAAAACAAACCAACAACGAAATCAATTGACAATATTCGTGTGCCTCTAATTATGGGCTCTCTTCTGATCTATATATCAATTCTTTAATCAATATCATACTGTCTCTAATAGTGTAGTTTTATATTAAGCATTGGAATCAGGTAGGATGAGTTCTTCAATTTTATTACTTTTTCTTTTTTTTGAGACAGGGTCTCACTGTCACCCAGGCTGGAGTGCAGTGGCGCAATCATAGTTCACTGCAGCCTCGAACTTTTGGACTGAAGCAATCTTCTCACTTCCTCCTGTGTAGCTGGAATCACAGGAACCTGCTACCTCACCTGGCCGTTTTTTTTTTTTTTTTTTTTGTAGAAACGGGGTCTTGCAGTGTTGCACAACTGGTCTCAAACTCCTGAGCTCAGCTGATCCTCCTGCCTCGGCCTCCCAAAGTGCTGGTTTTACAGGTGTAAGGCACTGCACCTGGCCTATAACTCTTTCTCAAAATTGTTTTGCCTATTTTATTTTCTTTGCTTTTCCATATAAATTTTATAATTTATATAGTTATTTCTTTTAAAATATTCTGCTGGTATTTTTGTTGGGATTATGTTGCATCTGCAGATAAGCATAAGGAGAATTGACTTCACAATACTGAGTTTCTGGTCCATGAACATGGCATATTTCTTTATTTATTTAGGTCTTTAATTTCTTTCATCAATCTTTTGTATTTTTCAGTACACAAATACTGCAAATATTTAGTTAGTTTTTTGTATTTTTAGCAGAGATGGGGTTTCACCATCTTGGCCAGGCTGGTGTTGAACTCCCGACCTCGTGATCCACTCTCCTCGGCCTCCCAAAGTGCGGGGATTACAGGCATGAGCCACCGTGCCTGGCTGAATATTCAACTTTTTAATGGAGTCCTATAAATTCCTGAAGTTCTGCTAATTTTTTTCTAATTTCTTAGTTCTTTAGATTGTATAATTTTTATTGATTTGTCTGCAAGTTCATGAACTCTTCTATTTATAATCTTCATTTTCCTCTTGATCTCATCCAGTGAATTTTTGTTTTAGATACCATATTTTTCAGTCCTAAAATTTCCATTTTGTTTTAAAATAGCTTATTTCTCAGCTGAGAACATTCATTTTTCTATTTCTTTCTTTGCTTTTCTCTCTCTCTCTCTCTCTCTCTCTCTCTCTCTCTCTCTCCCCCCTCTCTCTCTCTCTCTTTTCTTTCTTTCTTTTTTGACAGGGTCTTGCTCTGTTGCCCCAGGTGGGGTGCAGTGGCATGATGCTAGCTTACTGCAGACTCAACCTCCCAGGTTAAAGTTATCCTCGCATCTCAGCCTCTTGAGTAGCTGAGACCACAGATGTGTGCCACCATACCTAGCTAATTTTTTAACTTTTTGTAGAGACAGGGTCTCTCTATGTTGCCCAGGCTGGTCTTGAACTCCTGGGTTCAAGCGATCTCCCACCTCAGCCTCGCAAAGTGCTGGGATTACAGGTGTGATCCACCATGCCCAGCCTTTCTACTTATTTCAGTTATGTACATCTTCACCTCATGGAGCATGGTTAAAATGCCTATTTAAAGTCTTTTTTTTCTTTTTTTTTTGAGGCAGGGTCATGCTCTGTTACCCAGGCCAGAGTGCAGTAACATGATCATAGCTTACTGCAACCTAGAACTCCTGGGCTCAAGTGATCCTTCTGCCTCAGCCCTCAAGTAGCTAGGACTGCAGGCATGGTCACCATGGCCCTATATTTTTTAATTTTTTTTTGAGATGAAGTCTCACTTTGTTGTCCAAGCTGGATGCAGTGGCAGGATCCTGACTCACTGTAACCTCTGCCTCCCAGGTTTAAGCTATTCTCCTGCCTCAGCCTCCTGAGTAACTGGGACTACAGGCATTTTTGTATTTTTAGTAGAGATGGGGTTTTGCTATGTTTGCCAGGCTGGTCTTGAACTCTTGACCTTGTGATCCTCCTGTCTCGGCCTCCCAAAGTGCTGGATTACAGGCATGAGCCACTGTGCCCGGCCTTAAATTTATTTTTTAGAGAATGAATTTCACTGTATTGCTTAGGCTGGTCTTGAACTCCTGGCCTCAAGGGATCCTCCTGCCTTGGCCTTCCAAAGTGCTGGATTATGGGTGTGAGCCAGTGTACCTGGCCATCTCTTAAGAGTTTTAGCTGCCTGTGCTGCTACAACTACACTACTGGATCTGGCTCCAGGGTGATGAAGTGAGGAAAGGAGAGAGAAAAAAAAATAGCACTTCCCCCACCCCTACACGCACTGGGCCACGGTGCCCTGTGTTAGGCGGTTGTGTCACCGCCCAAACTACTTCTACTGTGCAGCTGTGCATCTGGAGTCACTCTTGGGACAGAGCTGGGAGAGAAAAATGACAAAGAAAGAAACAGATTCCACCCACACTTCTCCAGCTCACAAGGACCCGCTTTCCCAGTCCTCTGGCCAGAGAGACAGAGTTTTACTCAGAGATTTTGTTGCCTGTGCCTGCTGCACAGTTCAGTACTCCGGTCACTTTCGGTCAAAGCTGGGGAACAATAGAGAAAAAAGAATTCTGGGAAACTCACTGAAATGCTGTTTTTTCCAGTGTTGGGAGGTAGTTGCTTTTTGTATTTGTCCAGTACTTTTAGTTTTAACTGGTGTAAGAACTAGGCTGGAGTGGGTTTGCTCTGTCCTAGCAGATTGTGAGGGGAATTAGGATTGCTTGTTGTTAATTTCCTTTATCATGAGAAGGAAGTGCCTATCTATTCTATATCTGCTGAGTTTTTTTTTTTTTTTTCACTGATGTGGAATTATTTTTTAAAAAAGGTTTATATCATTAGAGTGTGTTTTTTTGTGGGCGAAGGGCAGTTTGAGATGGAGTCTCTCGCTGTAGCCCAGGCTGGAGTGTAGTGGTGCAGTCTTGGCTCACTGCAACCTCTGCCTTCTGGGTTCAAGCAATTTGCCTGCCTCAGCCTCCTGAGTAGCTGGGATTACAAGTGTGTGCCGCCATGCCTGGCTAATTTTTGTGTTTTTAATAGAGATGAGGTTTCATCATTTTAGCCAGGCTGGTCTCAAACTCCTGACCTCAGGTGAGCTGCCCGCCTTGGCCTCCCAAAGTGCTGGGATTACCGGCGTGAACCACTGCACCCAACTGGACAAACAAAGTTATAATATAATAGGAAGAATAAGTCCTGGCACAGGAGAGTGACTGTGATCAACAGTAAGGTATCATATATTACAAAGCAGCCAGAGGAGAGGCTTTTGAAAGCTTTCAACACAAAGAAATGGTAAAATCTGCTGAGTTTTTCAAAAAATAAATAACAGACTTTGAAATATACTGAATGCCAGTACAACATCTAATGACATATTTATTCAAATTTATACAGATTTCCTTCTTTAATATTTAATTTCCAAGTGTTTAGGTATTTTGATAAACTTTTTCTAGTTTTATTGGATGATAATTAGAGAACATGATGTAAATATCTTCTCCTTTAGAGAATGTGTCGAGGGGTTCTTTTGTGTGCATACTCCAGGGAGATTAATGTTAACAATTTTACTACATGTTTAATGGATATTTGAAATAATATTCTCTACTACATGCAAAGTCATCTATTAGACCAGGCTTATTTGTTTGTTTGCTTATTTTGAGATGGAATCTCGCTCTGTCTCCCAGGCTGCAGTGCAATGGCACAATCTCGGCTCACTGCAACCTCCGCCTCCTGGGTTCAAGTGATTCTCTTCCTAAGCCGCCCGATTAGCTGGGATTACAGGTGTCTGCCACCACATCCAGATAATTTTTTTTTGTTTTGTATTTTTAGTAGAGATGGGGTTTGGCCATGTTGACCAGGCTGGTCTCAAACTCCTGACCTCAGATGATCCACCTGCCTCAGCCTCCCAAAGTGCTGGGATTGCAGGTGTGAGCCACCTCACCCAGTGGGACCAGGCTTATTTAATTGTTTCATATCTCATTTTATGATTATTACAAGCTTACTTTACTCATTCTTTTTTAAATGACTATTTGTTGTTTCCAGCTTCCTGTTATTTTTAACAGTGCTGTTATGCTGTTATGCACATTCTTACTCTAATATTGTGTTTAGATTTATAGGTATATTTACCATTCTATTTGCTCACCACCCTTTGCACCTCGAACTTTCTTTAGGAAATTATTTTTCTTTTCCCTAAAGGGGAAAGAAAAAAACAATACTCCTAAAGGTATTATTTAGAAGTTTATCCTCTAGTGTAACTCTATTAAATCAAACCATTTATTTTTGCTTATCTGTAAAGCAAATCTGCATTAAATGATAGATTTGCTGGGAACTTGTGGGTTTATTCCACTGTCTTCTGCTTTCCACTGTTTCTGTGGAGAAGTTGGCTATCAGTCTCATTGCCATTCTTTCATTGACAGCCCATTTTTCCCCTCTTGTCTTTGTCCCCAGAGCATGCTGTGAAAGTCTGTCTTCACCTTTTATCTCACCTTTACTTCCTCATTGCTTCCTCCTGTTTCAAAAAGGCCATGACTTCTTGAGGACACTAAGCAGATTTTCCTAACATTTTATGTTATTTGTAGCAAATGCTTTTCAGATATGTACTTTTCTTCTGAGTGTCATTTTGCCAGGTAAAGGTGAGTGGGGAGACATGCCAGGCAAAGGGAATGGCATGTGTCTGATGATAGAGGAGAGTGAGTGGGTGCATGAGATGAGGCATGGGTGCTGTGCAGGGCTGGTGGTCAGAGCCAGCCTGAAGAGGAGTGTGGTCATGCTGAGTATTAAGGACGACAGGGGAAAGCCTGGAAGACAGATGCAGTGGTCTGAGGGTGGGTGGGTTCTCAGAGCTTGGACGGGCCAGAGAGAAGGGACCCACGGGTTGCTCTTCTGACCAATCTGACACATTCAAGTGTGGCCAACAAGCTTTGACCTCAGGTACTTTCTCAAACCAGGTTCACAGAGCAAGGGAACATTTCCAGATTTGTGTGAGATGACAGGGAACAGGGAGGTCTGGAGGTGATGGCAAGATGAAAGGGACAGAAGGAGAAAAAGAGAAGGGTAATGAAGAGAGAGGCAAGAAAGAAGGAAGAAACCAGGGGACCTAGGGGCCTAGTGTCACCTCCCCTGGAAGCACTGTGGGACCTGTGGAGAGTGGGCTACCTGAAGCGGGTAACTGTGTTGGTGGGTTTCTGACTCTGCAGAGGGGTTTGCAAGCCCTGGGAAATCCTGGCATCCTTCCCCAAAGGCTACGAAATGATCATGGAATATCTGCTCCAGAGGCTGACTCCACACCAGAGATCAAAGGACCAGGAGCCCAGCCACGAGGGAACAGATATCTCACCATTGATTGTATGGAAAGGTCAACGGGGGGCCCGGGGTAGGGAAGGGGACTCCCTGCGTCCTGTCCTCGGCTGTCACGGCTGTCACGGGCTCTTTGGGCCTTGACCTTTTAGGTATCAGTGTTTGGTGGAACAGTCTAATGGCAGTCTTGGAGTTGGGTTGCAGGGAGGGTTTTCCAGTTGACTTTGCTTTGTCAGGGAGATAGAAGAACTGGATTCCCCAGCTCCTCTAACTCTCAAAATGATAAGAGACTAAAATAACCACCATGATTAGAAGAGCGCTTTTAAAACAACGACATTCTAGAAATTGCCCTTGATTTTTCTGGCTCACACTAATTTAATCTGCACCTGCTCTAGCAGCATGGGTTTTACTGGGCAAATCTGTCATGGTGATGGGTTGTGGAAAGAGGTTTTCTGGTGACAGGATCTATGAGTCGAAGATATGGTAATGGCTGACTCTCCTCCTCCCTCCCAGGCCACCAGGGCCGTCCATGAGCTCCTGCAGGTACCCAGTCGGCGGATGGAGGTGCAGTCCTTCTTCTCCTCCTTGTTCCTGGCCCTGCTGTTCCAGATCTCCTTTTTTGTGCTTGAAGGGGGCGCTGAAATAAGCCAGGATCAGCAACACATAGCTGAATGGGTGGACCCGATAAGGTACCTTTGGCATTTGCTAGTGATTACGCTCCAGGGGCCATCAGCTTAGCACCTTCGCCCGACTTGTTATCAGCCTGCTGGGCCTGAATACCCTTTGTACACGCTCCTGCCAGGGCACTTAACCTGTTCCCCACACTTCGTATGAAGAAGTCTTCCTGGATTAAAAAAAATTCTATTTTATTATTTTATTTTTTTAGAGACAGGGTCTTGCTATTTTCCCCAAGCTGGCCTTGAACTCCTGGCCTCAAACCTTCCTCTTCTCTCAGCCTCCTGTGTTGCTGGGATTACAGGTGGGAGTCCAGCTTTCTGGACTTTTTAGGAAAGGCTCCTTCTTTAAACCTGGCATACTAGGCTGATGCACAGATTCGGTACCAAAGTGAGATCAATACCGTAGATAAAACACACATTTGAGTCCACAGACCTGGACTGCATTCCCTACCCTTCTGCTGGCTCACTGTGTCACCTTGCAGCTGTCACATCTCTCTTGGTCTCAGTTGCTTCACTTGTAAAATATTAACTGGGTCTCTGGGGGCTGTCCGACCACCAGCAGGTCATGATCCCCAGAAAGCTTTGGAAGTCAGGCAGGTGGCTGGTGAGGGAGAGGAGCGCAGATGGTGAATGACTTCTGTTTTCTGCTCTTTCTCCAGTTCTACCGTGGAGGCCCTGAAGACCTTGATGCAAAGTTGTGGTTATGGGGACCATGTGTCTTCTATTCAGAGACATGGGGGCTGGGGGCTGCTCGTCAATCCTGAAAGACACTATGATGGAGTCACTCTTCTGGCCAGGTGAGCTGCACCTGGGTCCCCGGCTGGAGGGCCCTCCATTCACTTGGCCCTCTCCTGCAGCCCAGACCTCACCTGAACACTGTTCTCTTGTCGGTAGGTCCCTGGTCGTCAATAACTGTTGGCACAACCGCCCGCTCTTTGGCTCCATCATCAGGCTCCTCCAGGACCCAGACTGCAAGAATCACTTGACAGCCCTTGTGCTCCTGACAGAGGTGACTGGCTCTTGGTGGGAGGGGAACAGGTGAGGGTGATCCCTCTGTAAGACAGCCATGCCCAACAGACACCTCCCAGGAAGGCCACCGACTCACTGTTACGAAGGGTTGGGGGACATGGCTAATGGCATTTGATTTGGTTACCTTGAGTTGGGGGCTTTGGTGCCTCCTTAAATCTCTTGGCAGTTTGACTCTGCCCTGACCTTACGGAACAACACAGCTCTCTCCTTCAACCACCTCAGCCTTGAGCAGCCTTTTAAAATTAATCTTTGCTTAGGGCCCCTGATTGACTCAATATAATTCAGCTACCCGCAGAAAAAAAAAATAGGAAATTTCAAAAATATGGAAAAGTATATCAAAAATTATAAAACCATTGCTAAGCATAACCCCCAGAGGAAACCACATTCATTCAGGTTTTTGCCTGTATAGAGGTGTGTATGTGTGTGCTGGTTGAAATCATTTTCTTTCTTCTTTTTTTTTTTTTTTTTTTTTTTTAGATGGAGTCTCCCTCTGTCGCCCAGGCTGGAATGCAGTAGTGCAATCTCAGCTTACTGCAACCTCTGCCTCCTGGGCTCAAGCGATTCTCCTGTTTTAGCCTCCCAAGTAGCTGGGACTACAGGTGCACAACACCACGCCTGGCTAATTTTTGTAATTTTAGAATTTTAGTAGAGATGGGGTTTCACCATATTGGTCAGGCTGGTCTCGAACTCCTGACCTCAGGTGATCCACCCACCTCAGCTCCTAAAATGCTGGGATTACAGGTGTGAGCCACTGCATTAGTAGAAATCATTTTCTACTAATATTCTGTATCCTGCTCTATTCAAATATCTGTCTATGTCATTACATGTTCTTTGTAACATACATTTTTCTTTTTTGAGAGAGAGTCTTGCTCTGTCGCCCAGGCTGGAGTGCAGTGGCATGATCTTGGCTCACTGCAACCTCTGCCTCCTGGGTTCAAGCAATTCCTTGCCTCAGCCTCCTGATTAGCTGAGATTACAGGTACATACCATCATGCCCGCTAATTTTTGTATTTTTAGTAGAGATGGGGTTTCACCATCTTGGCCAGGCTGGTCTTGAACTCCTGACCTCATGATCCACCCACCTCGGCCTCCCAAAGTGCTGGGATTACAGGTGTGAGCTACCACACCCAGCCTGTAACATACATTTTAAAATTTTGTTTTATTTTTTGAGACAGAGTCTCACTCTGTTGACCCAGGTTTAAAGGTATGTTCTACACTGGAGTGCAGTGCTGTGATCATGGCTCACTGCAGCCTCCATCTCCTGGGCTCAAGTGATCCTCCCACCTCAGCCTTCTGAGAATCGAGGTCTACAGGCATGTACCACCCTGCTTGGCTAATTTAAATTTTTTTTTTTAAATGTAGAGAAGGAGGTCTCATTATACTGCTCCGGCTGGTCTTGAACTCCTGGGCTCAAGTGATCCTCCCACCTGGGCCTCCCAGAGTGCTGGGATTACAGTTGTACGCCACCATGCCTGGCCTATAAATATAAATGTTAGTGGTGATACAATGTTTCATCACAAAGATGATCTATAATTTATTCGACATTCTGTTTCCAATTTTACACAATTATAAATAACATTGGAATGAACATCTCTGTCAAAAGGTTTTGCCCATATTCCAGATTATTTCCTTAACTGTTGAATATAATAATTGGAATTATTAGACCAAAAAGTGTGAACGTCTTCTATGAATTTTAACAATAATGACGAATTGCTTTCTGGTAGAGCTGTACCACTTTAGACTTCCACCAATAGTATTTGAGAGAATTTCAGAGTTTCTGAGCCGCTACAGCCTTAAATGGGATCCTTTTAAAATTCAAGCCACATGAATTTTTTTTTTTTTTTTCCGAGATGGAGTCTTGCTCTGTTGCCAGGCTGGAGTGCAATGGCGTGATCTCGGCTCACTGCAATCTCTGCCTCCTGAGTTCAAGCAATTCTCCTGCCTCAACCTCCTGAGTAGCTGGGATTATAGACGCGTGTCACCACACCAAGCTAATTTTTGTATTTTTAGTAGAGACGGGGTTTCACTATGTTGGCCAGGATGGTCTCGAACTCCCAACCTGAGGTGATCCACTCGCCTCAGCCTCCCAAACTGTTGGGATTACAGGCATGAGCCACTGCGCCCAGCGGAAGTCTTCATTTTCTAGAAGTACTCCAGTGGTGGTTGTGCCACAGGTAGTCCTTGGACCTAGCTTGGAGAAACAGTACAAGGCACAAGCCCGAGTGGGCAGGAGGCCACCATGAGATGGCTGCCTCTCTCTTTAGAGCAGTAATTCTGAACCCTGCTGCATATCAGAATCCTCCTGGGAGGTTTCAAAAATGCTAATGCCAAGCCTCCACCCTGCTCCTCACTCTCTGTCTAGTTTTTCTATTTGAATTGATCTGGCATGGGTCCAGGCATCAGTTTATTTTAGAAGCTCCCAGGATTAAAGATATATTCTAGAAATATAGCTTGGATTGAGAATCACTCTAGAGGTTTCCCCAAGTGTCTGATACCCAACTGAAACAAGGGGCACATGATACAGTGTTTGCTCATCTGCCACCCTGATTGGGGTTTTGGGCTGACAATGGGGAGGGAAGGTCAGCATGTTGGGGAGAGGCTGGAAGGAGCACCGCAGTAGGGGGACGGGTGAACCCCATTTTCAGCAACCAGAGAGAGAAGCAGTAGATTCTAAAGTGGAAAGCCAATGGGGTTTTAGGTACCAGGTAAGTAAGTAGGTCAAAATCTGTAAGTGAGAGAGCATAGCCTTTGTCGCTCCGTTTGTTGGTTGCTTCGTTATCTTTATTTTTTTTTTTATACAGATGGGGTTTCACCATGTTGATCAGGCTGGTCTTGAACTCCTGACCTCAGGTGATCTGCCCACCTAGGCCTCCAAAGTGCTGGGATTACAGGTGTGAACCACAGCGACTGGCTGTTGCTTCGTTATCTTTATTAATTTCCTTGAGATGATCACAAATAGAAATATTTAAAACAGAAAGGCTTGTGTGCTTTTCTTCAGTGTACTCAAGAAACAACAGAGCTCTGTTATTTTAATTCTCTCTAATTCTGTGAAAAGGGTGTTATTTACCTCTATTTTGTGAGAATGAAAGTAAGGCAGAGATTCACTCTCTAGCTTACTTAGCTAGAGAGTAAATGAGGGTGGATCTGCTTGACAGCCAATCAAAGTCAGATGAAAACTGCTGAGATGTTAATGAAGACTTCTTTGCCATTAGTTACATGTAAATGTACATTCATATGTGCATGCATACATGCATGCTAAAGCAAGTACATATATTTTAAATGTATCCGATTGACTTTTGGCTTTTTAAATGTCATTTTATTATTTAAAATATATTTTCTATATCGCAAGTCATCAAAATATATTTTCTTTTTAAATATATTTTCTTTTTAAATATATTTAAATATATCAAAATATATTTTCTTTTTAAATGTCATTTTATTATTTAAAATGTATTTTCTATATCACAAGTCATCAAAATATATTTTCTATATCATAAGTCATCAAGCAAAAATGTTATTTAAAATAATCTTTTTTTTTTTTTTTTGAGACAGAGTCTTGTTCTGTTGCCAGGCTAGAGTACAGTGGTGCAATCTCAGCTCACTGCAACCTCTGCCTCCCAGGCTCAAGCGATTCACCTGCCTCAGCCTCCCAAGTAGCTGGGACTATGGGTGTGCACCACCATGACCAGCTAATTTTTGTGTTTTTAGTGGAGACAGGGTTTCACCATGTTGGCCAGGATGATCTCTCTCTCTCTTTTTTTTTTTTTTCTTTTTTGAGACAGACTCTTACTCTGCCACCAGGCTGGAGTACATGCAGTGGTGCAATCTCGGCCCACTGCAACCTCTGCCTCCGGGGTTCAAGTGATTTTTTAAATTTTTTTGAGACATCGCTCTTGTTGCCCAGGCTGGAGTGCAATGGCGTCATCTCGGCTCACTGCAACCTCCTCCTCCCAGGTTGAAACAATTCCTCTGCTTCAGCCTCCCAAGTAGCTAGGATACAGGCATGAGCCACTACACCCAGCTAATTTTGTATTTTTAATAGAGACTGGGTTTCTCCATGCTGGTCAGGCTGGTCTCTAACTTCCGACCTCAGGTGATCCCCCACTTGGCCTCCCAAAGTGCTGGGATCGCGGACGTGAGCCACCGTGCCTGGCTGACAGTGATTTCTTAATAATTCTCCTTTCCCCCTCTCCCTTTTAAAAAGGATTATTCCAGGGGACTTTGACTTTTCTCTTTTGCCTTTTTCAGCAGGTCAGTAAATCTGACCATTATGTGCTTTGCAATGTTCCTCAGAGTCATCCTTTCTCCATTCCTACTACCTGGCCTCGTCCAGACCCTTATTACCTGTGCTTGAAGCAACTTTATTTTTTTTTTTAGAGACAGGGAGTCTCGCTATGTTGCCCAGGCTGGTCTCCAATTCCTGGCTTCAGGTGATTGTCCTGCCTCAAACTCCAGAGTAGTTGGGATTACAGGTGTGAGCCACCACACCCAGCTGGAGCAACTCCAGAAGATGACATGCTGGTATCTTTCCTCCTAGGACCTTCGGTCAACCCAACACATTTTCCACGTCCAACACTCCTCACCAATGGGATCCTCTGGAGCGGGGTCAGCACCCATTGCCCTTCCCTCAACTATGTTACACTTATTCCCTACATTTTTCTCGTTTTGCCATACCCACCTTTTCCCGTTAAACACACACATGCGCATGCGCACACACACACACACCCCCCTATGTTCTCCTCCCATCTGCTCACTGAAGTTCTCTTTATTCAAGTTCAGCTCCAGTTCTACCTCTTTCATAAACCTTTCCTAGATAGAGCAATACCTGTTTATGATAACTTTTTACTTGCTTTGAATTTGTGTAGTATTGTTATTGCCTTGAATGTTCAATAGGTGGTTCATGTACCTAAGTCTTGACTCTCTAGCTGAATTTCTAGGATCTTTGAGGGCAGAGTGCATTTCTTACTTTTATCTCCTACAGTTTCCCTTATCAAGAATGCTTAAGGGGGCCGGGTGTGGTGGCTCATGCCTGTAATCTCAGCACTTTGGGAAGTGAGGTGGGGGTATCATCTGAGGTCAGGAGCTCGAGATCAGCCAGACCAACATGGTGAAACCTGTCTCTACTCAAAATACAAAATTAGCAGGGTAGGGTGGCACATGCCTGTAATCCCAGCTACTGGGGAGGCTGAGGGAGGAGAATAGCTTGAACCTGGGAGGTGGAGGTTGCAGTGAGCCAAGATTGTGCCACTGCACTCCAGCCTGGGTGACAGAGGGAGACTGTCTCAAAAAAAAAAAAAAATGTTTAAGGGGCCAGGTGCAGTGGCTCATGCCTATAATCCCAGCACTTTGGGAGGCCATATGGGTGGATCACCTGAGGTCAGGAGTTCGAGACCAGCCTGGTCAACATGGTAAAACCTCATCTCTACTAAAAGATACAAAAATTAGCTGAGTGTGGTGGCACACGCCTGTAGTCCCAGCTACTCAGGAGGCTGAGGCACGAGAATTGCTTGAACCCAGGAGGCAGAGGTCGCAGTGAGCCGAGATCACACCACTGCACTCCAGCCTGGGCAACAGAGCAAGACTCCTTCTTGAAAAAAAAAAAAAAGCTTAAGGAAAACTTGGGGAATGAATATATGACTTCTGGAATGACAGGTACGAATTCAGCCTTTAGCTAGGCTTTGGCCTCTCTACCAATTCTAAACCCCTCAGAACATTTCCCTACGAATGAGTAGGAACCTAGATCCGAAGTCACTGAGGACTGCTTTTTCTCCTTGTCCGCCTGTCTTTCTTGGTCTCCCTGCCGCAGCTGCTCCAGTGCCCCGATGTGGCAGCCGTAGTGGATGACATCACCACCCGCATTCTTGCAAACTGGTTCAGGAGTGAGGAGCCAGCCACGGTGAAGCTGTTGCTGCAGATGCTGGAGGTGTTCGTGAAGCATGGAAACATGGTGAAGTGGGGCAGGGGCCAAGGGTGTGCTCTCAGGAGATGCTGTCACCAGGGCAAGGGACATCTGGTGTGTCCAGTTATAGACAGGGTGGGACACACTCTTGTGATCAAAGAGAGCAAATCCTCATGAGGCCAGTGCACCACAGACAGGAGTTGGGGCTGGAGCCAGTCACGATTTCTCCCTCCCAGGAAAGGTCTCCTGAGGAAGTTTTCCCATGGGCCATTTCAGAGAACAGGCCAAGCTAACCCCAGGATCTCACACGTGTCATCCAGGTCCCTTGGAGATTGCTGTTGTCATCAGGGATGAGAAAGGCAGCGGAGATGAAACTTATGGTGTAGTGGGAGGAGGGGGCCTCCTCTGTCTTCTCCCCTTTTCTCATGATGGGCACAAGGTATCTCCCCAACTGTCCTCCTGGGCAGCTCATTCCAACTGCTACCCAGACGCTGGACAAGTCCCAGCTCCAGAATGAAAAAGCAGAAGAATGCGGTGTTCATTTGTGGGGCTGAATTGACTTGAAATGAGAATTCCCTGGCTTGGCAGGGGTCATCTCCTCAGCTCCCCGTTCCCTGAGCAGCTGTTGCCCACAGGTCAGACGGCTCCGCATCCTCCAGCCCTACGTGCTGAACTGCTGCTACTCCTCGAACGGTGACATCGTGCTGGAGACTCTGCGGGTGCTGAAGACTCTCCTGAGCCACCTCACCTGGCAGCACTCGTCCTCCTTCCTTATCCAGCTCACCTTCACGCTGGCGCCCTTCTTTGAGGAGGTGAAGGCCTCTCGGGGTCATTTTCTTTCTCTAGGCATCTGTAAAATAAGAAAGTCGGCTGGGTGTGGTGGCGCACACCTATAATCACAGCACTTTGGGAGGCCAAGGCAGGTGGCTCATGTGAGGCCAGGAGTTTAAGACCAGCCTGGGCAACATAGTGAGACCCTGTTCTAACAACAGCAACACATTAGCTGAGTGTGGTGGTGGGTGCTTGTGACCCCAGCTATTTGGGAGGCTGAGGCAGGAGGATTGCTTTAGCCCAGGAGGTCAAGGCTGCAGTGAGCTGTGACCATGCCATGCACTCCAGCCTGGGCAACAGACTGAGACCTTGTCTCAAAAAAAATAACAACAACAAAGCCGGGCGCGGTGGCTCACACCTGTAATCCCAGTACTGTGGGAGGCTGAGGCGGGTGGATCACAAGGTCAAGAGATCGAGACCATCCTGGTCAACATGGTGAAACACTGTCTCTACTAAAGATACAAAAAATTAGCTGGGCATGGTGGCGCGTGCCTATAATCCCAGCTACTCAGGAGGCTGAGGCAGGAGAATTGCCTGAACCCAGGAGGCGGAGGTTGCAGTGAGCCGAGATCATGCCATTGCACTCCAGCCTGGGTAACAAGAGTGAAACCCTTGAAACTCCGTCTCAAAAAAAAAAAAAACAACAACAAAAAAACCCACACGGAGTTGGCAGAATGATTCAAGGCCCTTAACCTTGAATATGACACCATTCTGAAGGGGCCTGGTAGCTTCTGCCCTCTGTGTCTTTCTGAAGAGTAAGATGGAGTGAGAAAGCAGACCACAGCCGGCAGGGGTCAGAGCAGGTCATGTGGGGAGGGATGCACACAGGAGTGTGGGGTCGGGGGGGTGGAGCTCGGGACCCCTGACCCTGGGTGGCCGGGTGAAAAGACAGACACAGAGGCGTCTTCCCCACACAGGTGTCAGAGCATCTGCGGTTGGCAGCCTTTGAGATCTATGGGAGTGTCTTGGCCAAGGTCAAGAAGAGGAGCCTTGTCTTTCCCTTGAAGCATCAGATCCTCAACTTGCTAGTCGCCCTAGTGCTCCACCTGCAGGACGTGAATTCCGACGTGGCTCTGGTGAGAGGCCAGGCCGTGGAGCCTGGTCTTCAGTCCCTGTTTTCATGGGAGGTAAATGCTGAACATGTTGAGTGCTCAGGCAGGGCTGTGGCAGGACTGGATGGTGCTGAAGGAGTCAAGTAGTCCCGGTCCTTGCAGAGTTTCACTAAGAGACTAGAGAGTGACAGATGCTTGCACTGAAGTTTTCCCCAGCTTCCGGCTCCATCCGATTGGCCACTGACTCCCAGTGGTGTTACTCCCAGGAGAGTCTCATCGACAGGCACCAGTCCCTCTCTCTGCTTCCCTGCCTGTGGCTCCAGCGGCCTCCTCTCCACGCTGCTGTTTGCATACTCTCTGCCTGTGAATGGAGACAGGGCTCCCTGGGCCGGGAAGCCCCCGTGGGAGGCAGTGTGGTGGGCAGAACAGAGACGGCCTAGAACTGGCCTTCTTTCCGGAATGAATGAGTCCAGCTTTGAGGCCAGGAGCCCCAGGAACGTGAACTGCAGCTTGAACACTTGAAGACTGGCTGACTTAGTGACAGGACACCTTGTTTCCACAGAGCAGCCTACTTTGTCGTCACTGAGGCCTCTTAGGCGCATCTGAGGCCGGCTGGGCAAGCGATTGAATGGGGATATTATCTTTGTGTGGGAGAGCCCCACCAGTGGATTCCGCCGTGGTTTCCCAACACAGCCAGCCCTGATTTAGAACAGCGACCACCCAGTTGGGGGATTAAGACTTTGGGGAAATTTGTTTTCAGAAAGACTGTTTTGTGGGGTGGAGTGGGGGCAAGGGTGGGGGCGTGGGAAGCCATGTGGCCAGTGAATAAGGCTCTGAGCTGGATAGTTCCAGTGCTCTGGGTCTCCGTGTCACACCACAGCAACTGGGAAAATGTTAGAACTGTAATTTTTAAACTTCTCATTAGTGGGAAAAGGAGCGTGTAAGTAGAGTCACGCTGCCTGGACCCCTGCCTTTTCCCTAAGCCCTGGGTCCCTGTCGATTCACCAGCATTTCCATCCCATTGAGGCTGGATGTGATGCTGCTTGTCTCTGCTCTTTGCACCCTCCGTGTCCCTGCCCAGACCCACTCCCCAGCTCCTCATGCTGAGCCTCCTTCTCTCCCAGATCTGCCGGTCTGCCCTCTGCCACACAGCTGCTGTGCTGGGCTGGTCAAAGCTGAAAGCAGTATTTGCAGAGAAAGATGTGTGGAACATTCTCAGAGCCCTGGTAAGCCAGCAACTTGCTCACCTTCTGCCCCTATGCAAGGGAGGGCGGCATCCCCAGCAGTCTGGGTCCTTTTCCTGCAGCTCCGGGGTTTGCAGCAGTAGTGGCAGTGGCAGCAGCAACAGTTCAACGATGAGATACTCATTAAGCACCTACTTTGTGCTCGACACCTAGATATGGTTCCTGCTCTCCCCTTGCTTCCTGTCTGAATTGGGGAGCTAGGCACACAAGCAGAGAATCTCAGCATGCCTTGGGAAGGGCAAAGAAGGGGTACCCAGCACAGTCTGGGAGTCGAAGGAAGGCTTCCTGGAAGAGGTGTCATCTTCAGAAGGAGAAATGGAAGGCAGGGTAACACTTAGGCGAAGGGAAGGAATCAAGAGTGCACGCCAAGGTGAGGCTGTGCCCAGGGATGTGGAGCAAAGCACTCACTCTGTTCCAGGGACCTTGCATACATTATCTGGTATGATATGATCCTCACAACCATGCTGAGAAATAAGGGCAGAAAGGCCTGGTGTGTGGGGAGCTATTAACATCAGTGCTTTGGAATCATTAGAGCAGGGCAGAAAAGGCAAATGCTGGCTGGGTGCGGTGGCTTATGCCTGTAATCTCAGCACTTTGGGAGGCCAAGGTGGGTGAATCACAAGGTCAGGTGTTCGAGACCAGCCTGGCCAACATGGTGAAACCCCATCTCTACTAAAAATACAAAAATTAGCTGGGTGTGGTGGCAGGCGTCTGTAATCCCAGCTACTCAGGAGGCTGAGGCAGAGAATTGCTTAAACCTGGGAGACGGAGGCTGCAGTGAATCAAGATTGTGCCACTGCATTCCAGCCTGGGTGACAGAGTAAGACTCCATCTCAGAAAACAAACAAACAAAAAGGCAAATGCCTGCAAGGCCATGCAGGAAACACCAACCAGAGATCAGAGTGGGTGGCCCGGAAGAGAACGTTAGGCCCTGAGGCCCAGCGCAAGCAGCCTTCTCAGCATGACCAGGCACCCCGTCACAGCACACATTCAGTGGCACCGCCTTTACTCTCCTAAAGGGAAATTCATAAATAATGTCCTCTACCTTTGCGTATTTCCAAAATAAGTAATATAATGCCCTAACTCCAAAGGAGAAATAAAAGTAATCTACAACAAAATAATCTGTATGAATATATGGAACACAATGCAGCATAACACAACATAATAATAGAACATAAATACTACATGTAAATGTTTGGGCCCAGTTACTTTATTTTGTGTGTGTGTGTTTTTTTTTTTTCAAGACGGAGTCCTGAAACCCAGGCTGGAGTGCAGTGGCACGATCTCGGCTCACTGCAACCTCCACCTCCTCCTGGGTTCAAGCGATTCTCCTGTCTCAGACTCCTGGGTAGCTGGGATTACAGGTGCTTGCCACCAGGCCTGGCTAATTTTTGTATTTTTAGTGGAGATGGGGGTTTCCTCATACTGGCCAGGCTGGTCTCGAACTCCTGACCTCAGATGATGCAGCTGCCTCAGCATCCCGAAGTTCTGGGATTATAGGCTCAAGCCACTGTGCCCTGCCAGGGCCTAGTTACTTAAGAACAATGATATACATGAATCCTTGCCCCTCTTCAGGGAATCACTGTGAACGGATCTGCTACAAATGCAGAATGATATAGGAGCATTGTGTGGGAGACTCAGACATCACCAGAAGGGTTGCCGTTGGTGATGGGACTTCCAAAACGATGAATCATTTCTTGTGACTTTCTGAACAAGATGAACTATAGTCTTTGATGTCTATTGCAGATGCATTCCTAGAAAATCCAGTATGTAGCTGAACTGTGAAAAAATACTCCATTGGCTGGGCGCAGTGGCTCATGCCTGTAATCCCAGCACTTTGGGGGGCTGAGGCAGGCGGATCACGAGGTCAAGAGATCGAGACCATCCTGGCCAACATGGTGAAACCCTGTTTCTACTAAAAATACAAAAATTAGCTGGGCATGGTGGCATGTGCCTGTAGTCCCAGCTACTCAGGAGGCTGAGGCAGGAAAATTGCTTGAACCTGGGAGGTGGAGGTTGCAGTGAGTCAAAATTGCGCCACTGCACTCCAGCCTGGGCAACAGAGCCAGATTCTGCGTCAAAAAAAAAAAAAAAAAAGTACTCTATTGTCTAAAAAAGCCAAGTTCTAGGCATGGATTATTATAAGTAGGGTTTTGATAGACATAAATGTATAATGGGATATTAGAAACTGGTGTACCCCATCATCATTTTGAAAACCATAAACATCTCCCAGTTTCGTAATTCCCTCCACATAGTACAGTCCCCAGTTGAGAACTCACCAATTGTTTCTAGGAGAGAAAGTGGCTCAGGGTTAAGAGAAGCAGGAAATCCATGCCAGGTGCTGTGGCTCACATGTGTAATCCCAGCACTTTGGGAGGCCAAGGTGGGTGGGTCACTTGAGGCCAGGAGTTTGAAACCAGCCTGGCCAACATGGGGAAACCCTGTCTCTACTAAAAATACAAAAATTAACCAGGCGAGGTGGCAGGCACCTGTAATCCCAGCTACTCAGGAGGCTGAGGCAGAGAATTGCTTGAACCCGGGAGGTGGAGGTTGCAATGAGCCGAGATTATGTCACTGCGCTCTAGCCTGGATGACAGAGCAAAAGTCTGTCTCAAAAAATAAATTTTTTTATTTTAAAAAAAGAAGCAGGAAATCCTGATTTGGGGTGAAATTTCCTGCATTAATGTTTGCAAATAATTTAAAATGTAAACCATTATGTAGATCAAACAAAAAAAAAATATATCTTTAGGCTGCTTTTGCTCATAGACTGCCAGCGTGCTGTCCAGGCAGCAGACACCAAGCAGGAGGCAGGAGGCTGGGCCACACTGTGCTGTGGAGGTTTGGGCCCAGTGAGGACTGGGACTTGCGGCTGTAGGCAAGGGAAGTCGTTGAAGCATTTTGAGCAAGCAGGTAGTATGGTCAGAGAGCTGTGCATTTCACACAAATCACGGAAGCTACAAATCAGAGAAACGTCCCCAAGGGAGGGAGTTGGAGGCTGTGCTGAGAGTGTCTGGGGAAAGATGGAGCCAGGAAGACAAAGACACGGCCGGACTAGCTAGTTGTGGAGATGGATACGATGTGAATTGTGGAAGTACAAGTCGCTCTTGGCTTCTGATGTGGATACACGCTGGTGTCCCAGACTGAGGTCAGAAATACAGAGGGAGGAACAGGTGTGGAGGGGAGGGTGGTGGTGTGGTTTTGTGCGTGGAGACCTTGTAAAATCAGTGAGAACACTAAGTGGACCTATTCCGTTGGAAGGTAGATAGGTGTCACTGAAGCTTGGAGGACAGGGCTGTTTGGTGAGCGCCGAGCAGCCTGCCGGGTGGTAGATGGACACTGTGGCCCTGAGCACAGATGTGCTCTCCTAAGGACACCGTGGTGGGAGCAGCATAGGAGTCAACATTGAGATCCCAGGAGACATCAGTTCCAAGGATCCCACGGAGAAGACGAGGAAAGGAAATCTGGCAGAAAGTCAAAGGAGGGTAACAAGAGAGGAGGGTCATGGTCACCTAGGAAGGACCATGACCAGTTTCAGGAAGCAATCAAGGGTGCAAAAACCCCCATGGTTTCTTGGGTAACTTCAAAAGACTGGAGAGAAGAGCAGGCAGGCTAGGCTCAGCCTTCCCACCTCCTTCAACCCAGCAGAGCCCTTCTTCTTTTTCCTCTTCCTCTTCTTCTCATTTTCCTTCTCTTCCTCCTCCTCCTCCTACTTGTCACCCAAGCTGGAGTGCAGTGGCTCGATCTCCGCTCACTGCAACCTCTGCCTCCGGGGTTCAAGCCATTCTCCTGCCTCAGCCTCTTAAGTAGCTGGGACTACAGGTGCGTGCCACCATGTCTGGCTGATTTTCGTATTTTCAGTAGAGACAGGCTTTCACCATGTTGGCCAGGATGGTCTTGATCTGAAGCCCAGGCTGGAGTGCAGTGGCGCGATCTCAGCTCACCGCAACCTCCACCTCCCAGGTTCAAGAGATCCCCTCCCCCCCCCCCCCCCCCCCCCCTCCCTCTCCCTCCCCCACTCCATCCCTCCTTCCGTCCGTCCCTCCCTCCCTTCCTTCTTCTTCCTCCTCCTCCTTCTCCTCCTCCCCCTCCCCCTTCTCCCCCTCCCCCTCCCCCTTCTCCTCCTCCTCCTTCCCTTTCTCCTCCTCCCCTTTCTCCTCCTCCTCCTCCCCTTTCTCCTCCTCCTCCTTCTTCTTCTCCACTACCCCCCTCCTGTTTCTTCTCCTTCTCCCCACTCCCTCCTTTTCCTCCTCCTCCTCCTTTTTCTGCCACTTCCGCTTCCTCTTCCTCTTCTTCTCCCCCCTCTTCCTCTTCTTCTTTCTTCTCCTGCTCCTCCTCTTCCTCCTCCGCTTCCTCCTCCTTCTCCTTTTTCTTTCTTCTTTCTTCTCAGGGTCTTGCCATGTTGCTGCGGCTATAACTCCTGAGCTCAAGTGATCCTCCTGCCTTGGCTTTCCAAAGTGCTGGGTTTACGGGTTTGGGATATTGGGTTTCCAGTTAAGATTTCTACTTGAAGAAAAGATCCTGACAAAAGAAGTTGGGGCAAACCATGGATGTAGCCTTCTGTTTTAAGAACCGACTGCAGAGGGAAAAAGGAGGGTTAGGATGGGAGCTAGGAAGGAGATGCAGGAGACGGGCTTGGGTTAGCGGCTGATGCAAAGGGAAGGACACATCATCCTTTGAACCTTCAAGGGTGGAAGTCTGATGAACGCAGAAGGGGCTGCATTCTTAGGCAGGTGATGGAAGGTGTGAAAACATGGAATTATAGGCAGCACGGCTAGGCTCTGTTTATTTTTATTTATTTTAAGTATTTTATTTTATTTTACGTATTTTTTTGGAGACAGGGTCTGGCTCTGTTACTCAGGCTGGAGTGCAGTGGTGCCACGTCAGCTCACTGCAACGTCTACTTCCTGGGTTCAAGCGATCCTCCCGCCTCAGCCTCCTGAGTAACTAGGTGTATAGGGATGTGCCACCAGGCCTAGCTAACTTCTGTATTTTTGTAGACGTAGGGTTTCACTCTGTTGCCCAGACTGGTCTCGAACTCCCAAGCTCAGGCGATCCGCCTGCTTTGGCCTCTGAAAGTGCTGGGATTACAGGCGTGAGCCACTGTGTCTGGCCTGTTTTAAAAATTTTAGATTTGGGGGTATGGGTGCAGGTTTGTTCCATGGGTATACTGTGTGATGCTGAGGTTTGTGCTTCTAACATTTCCATCCCCAAGGAGTGAACGTAGTCCATAGGTAGTTCTTCAATCCTTGCCCCACTCCTTCCCTCCCCCCTCCTCTTTTTTGGAATTCTCAGTATTCATTGTTCCCATCTTTGTGTTCATGTGACTAAGGCTCCGCTTAAACAGAATTCTGTAGGCATGATCTTCTGCAACCTAAAGCACATGACCTGGAGATTGAAGGTTTAAGATAAGATAGAAATAAACGGGATTTCAGCAATAGGCTTCACTCCTCTATTATTAGGAGAGAAAAAAATGTCTGAGCCAAACACTGGGGCCAGTCTATGAGTTTCACACTCAAACTGGGTCAAGGCCAGGGAATGTGATCCCTGCGGCATGGCTGGTCCAGGAAGGCTTCATGAAAGAAAGACGATTTCAGGAGCTGGGGTAGGAGGGGATGGAGATGGCGAAGGTTTTGACGGATTTTTGCACTCAGGGGATGATGGCTCCAGTGTAATCTGAAAACTGCCCGAGGGTCCCTTCCACAATCTGACCCCTCTTGTTACAGCTGGAGCAGGAGACGGACAAAGCCCTCTGGTTTCTGAAGCAGTGTGTGGTGCGCTTCAGCAGCCCCCAGGTTCCCGTCCGCCGGGCAGCTGTGTGGTTTGCAGGTATGGCCTTTCGTCTTCTGGGAGCCCCTTTCTCCTTGTTGTAGGGTCCCTTAAGCAGACTGAGCACCCAGGACATGAGGAGAGACAGAACCCATGGGGATTTCGTTGTGGGGTGGGAGTGGAGGTGGGAGTGCCTACCTGGGCCTCCTGCTCCCTCCGCTGTAGGAAGCTCCTGGTCGGGTTGGGTGGTCACCTTCCTACAGCAGAAAGTGCCAAGTCCTAGGAGCCCAGTCAGCAGAGAGCCAAAGGGTGGAGCATCGGGGTCTGGGAGCTACCCAGTGGGGGCAGTGCAGAGGTAGGTGGGGGACTGCCTCGGATCACCCCAGGGAAGAGCTCTTCCGGGAGAGGCGCATCCACTCCTTCACCCAGCCCAATTTGCTTAGAATCCTTCAGAGAAGCAAGGGAACACAAGTTCAACTTCATGGGAAAAGTCCAAACCTGAGGCTGGTGGCCAAGGGAGGGGAAGGCAAGAAAAAGGAGGGAATGGTGAGTGTTTTGGGAAGGGGGACAAGAGTACCTGCAGCCAGGGCCCCACTGATTCCTTGTGGGGCTCTGAGGTGCCTCTGTGTGCCCCTGTAGGCCAGATTCTCCAAACTCTTGACTTGGAAGAGATGGATGACATTGACGAGGCGCACGCAGGTGAGTGGCAGCCCAGTCTCCTCCTCCTTGGGTCTTTTGGCAGCACCAGTGTTGGAGAGGAATGCTCAGAAGTTAGGAACAATGGGCAGATGGCCTCACAAAAATGATCATCCAGAAGAGTGGAGAGACAGACATCCCCAGGATGCTTCAGTTTTGAGGGGCCGGTCAGAGCCTCCTGCCCCATGTTCACTTACAACCTCGCCACCATGGAGCCCATCCAGCAGCCAGGAGGGTCCCTTAGGCTTCTCGTGGGAGAGACAGCATTGGGCCCCCATGTGTGGCTGAGTCCCTGGCTGCAGAAGACTTCATGCACAGCTATTCTATGGGGAAGAGGGGACGCAGGGCCAGGGAGGGCCAGTGGAGAGGAGTGAGCGGTTGGTAATGGGGGCAGGGTGAGGAGCACGTGGGCCCTGCATCTCCCTGTGTGCACGGCGGCTATGTGGTCTTGCTTGTGACGGAGCACTGTGGACTCCCAGAAGAAGCTCTTGCTCATAGTTTCAAATCCGCCAGTCCTGACACCATGGCCTGGTACCTCTCTGCCTAGGCCCTCCTGCCCAGCCCGCTAGCCTTTCTGTCTTTGTTGCAGCCCTAAGACACATGCAGAGAGACTCTGACCCCACGGTCAGCTGCCTCACCACGCAGACTTTCTATATCCTGGACGCCAGGAAGAAGCTGCTACTGGCTCAGCAACCCCCATCCTGCTTCTCCAGGAGACCCCGAAGGCGCCACTTCTGAACCTGCATCCTTGAGTCTCAGATGCAGGCCTGGCCATTAGACCCTGTGACAATGGGGCCAGATTCCTGGGTCCTGTACTAGAAATGGAGGTGTAGCCCTGCAGAATCTTCATCATAAAAGGAAAGAGCATGCACCTTTGTGAAAATAGCTATCATGTTGTCTTTCCAGTCAATTCTTGGCCTTCTGGGGTAGAGCCACTTGTGAGCTGCCTTCTCTCCAACAAACATCTGGGTCTGGGCTGACCTCTCCTGCTCTGCCTCTCTGTTCCCTTCTCCTATTCAGACACATTGTCTGAGGCCAGAGCAAGCAGTTTCTTTTGAACCAACTACAACTATGAGCCGTGGGGAAAGTAATGTCGGCACGCATGAGGTGTTCTAGAATGCAGTTGTGAGAGTAAGCAAGAGTCCACTCTGGTTGGTTGAAGCAGGAAAGTGATTTATTAAAGCGTTGTCAGTGAGCTCACAAAACATCTCGGAAAATCAGAGAGTTTGGGTACCACAGGGCCAGGGACAGTGCTGCTCAATACAAAACCACCATGGCCGGCCCTGGCACAGCCCAAACGATTCCCCAAGTGTCTACAGTCAGGCCTGATGCTTGCCCTGCAGTGCCTCGCCTCTGCCAGGGCAGTTTTGCTTTGTTACAAGCAATGATAAAAGGTAGTTCTTAGGCCGGGCGCGGTGGCTCACGCCTGTAATCCCAGCACTTTGGGAGGCCCAGGCGGGTGGATCACGAGGTCAAGAGATCGAGACCATCCTGGTCAACATGGTGAAACCCCGTCTCTACTAAAAATACAAAAAAATTAGCTGGGCATGGTGGCGCGTGCCTGTAATCCCAGCTACTCAGGAGGCTGAGGCAGGAGAATTGCCTGAACCCAGGAGGCGGAGGTTGCGGTGAGCTGAGATCGGGCCATTGCACTCCAGCCTGGGTAACAAGAGTGAAACTCCGTCTCAAAAAAAAAAAAAAAAAAAACAAAACAAACAACAAAAAAAAGGTAGCTCTTATTCAAAACCTATTAGCAGGTCAAGCGCATTGGGGTGAAGCCCACCTCATAGACCGTTCTGACACCCTCATGAGCCATCCCCTCACTTTGGTCCCGCATAACGTAACAAATACGAGGTAATGAATGCATGGAAAGTAGTGGATTCCAAGGCCATCCATCTCTGTCCCAGGATGATTTTGGCCAACTCCGTTGGCCTCTCTGGGCTTTCATTCTGTAAAACGTAAATGTGTAAACTGAGAGAGTTGGAAAACGTCTTTGTTTTTAAAACTCAACTTCGCTGGGTGCGGTGGCTCACGCCTGTAATCCCAGCACTTTGGGAGGCTCAGGCGGGAGGATCACAAAATCAGGAGTTTGAGACCAGCCTGACCAACAAGGTAAAACCCTGTCTCTACAAAAAATTAGCCAGGCGTGATGGCATGCACCTGTAGTCCCAGCTACTCAGGAAGCTGAGGCAGGAGGATCGCTTGAGCCTGGGAGGTGGAGGTTTCAGTGAGCCGAGATTGCACCACTGCACTCCAGCCTGGCGACACAGTGAGACTCCGTCTCAAAAAAAGAAAAAGAGAAAAAAACCTCAACTTCAGTGGCTGAGGAAAAATCGCCTTTTAAGATGCCATCTAGTTCTGACAATGAACGGCTCTTACCAAATTCTGAGGTGCTATTCCCTTGTGCCTGGGAAAGCTGCCCCACAGCTTATATCCTAAATGGGATTTTTCTTGACAATTTCTTGTTTTCCAAATTTTCTGAAGTAAGTAGATATTATGCATGTAACCTGGAAACAAAACAATACCCCACATTAAAAGAAGAGTCTCTTAATCCTCTGTTCCTGTCTCCCACCGCCCCCTGCAAGAGCCTTGGCATCCTCGAGAGGCAGAGTGACCTGCATTTGGAAAAATTACCTTGTGCTGTGAAACTTCTTAGGGGGTATGGGGAGGAGCGCAGTGGCAGGGAGGAACCAGCTGGCTGGAGTCCACTCCAAGGCCGGCCCCTGACCAGTTCCCCAGCGGCCGGTCTCTGGGTCTCGCCCACACACCCTGCCCAGCCTGCAGCTGGCTGTGGCCAGGTGTCACTCCCTGCAGTTCACAGTGGACTCTGTCCTACTGTCAGGCAGCATCCCATGTAAAATATGGGCCTGTGGGGATCGAGGGTGGAGCGGGGAGTGGCACGGGTAATGCCAGGTCAGCCAGCCAAAACAGCTACCCGCAAGAAGCCACCCTGCTCCCAGGGCAGGCAGCTCTGTGCCCACCAGCAGGGCTGGCAAGTCAGGGCAACTCTGCCCACTGTGTCTCCTTCCATGGCTCAGGGTTGTGTCTCCCTCCATGGCTCAGGGTCCCTCTCTCACTCGCCAAGGCCCTTCTGTTTGAGGACTGGAAGCCTCTCTGGAGGAAACCTTCCCCAGGAAGCCCTTGTCCTCCCACCCACTGTGACTTCTGCCTCCTACAGACTCCAGGAATTCCCTGGCCAGAGCACCCGTCCCAGCCATAAGTCTGGACACGCAGCGGGGGACTGGTGCAGGCTGAGGAAGGAAGCAATTTGGTTTTATATTTGGGTAACAAAGCAAAGAGAGACCCTATTGTATTTCTGACACAAAAATCAGAAGCTTTTTTTTTTTTTTTTTTTTTTTTTTGTAGACAGAGCGTTGCTCTGTTGCCCAGGTTGGAGTGCAGTGGTACAATCTCAGCTCACTGCAACCTCTGCCTCCCGGGTTCAAGTGATTCTCCGGCCTCAGCCTCCCGAGTAGCTGGGACAACAGGTGCATGCCATCACGCCTGGCTAATTTTTTGTATTTTTTTATAGAGACGAGGTTTCACCGTGTTAGCCAGGATGGTCTCGATCTCCTGACCTCGTGATCCTCCTGCCTCAGTCTCCCAAAGTGCTGGGATTACAGGCGTGAGCCACCGTGCCTGGTCAGAAGTTAAGCTTTTTAATCAGTCACGGGCTGTGATGAAGATGTGGATTCTCCCCGAGGGGCCTCTCTGCCAAGGGGATGGGCTGGAATCTCTGGGAGTTGGTGAAACAATTCATGGTTATCAAAAGGGAATATGGGTTCTTAGACTGAAAAGCACTGATCTAGAAAAAAAATCCTGGCCAGGCATGGCGGCTCACTCTTGTAATCCCGGCACTTTGGGAGGCTGAGATGGGAGGAGGGCCTGAGCCCAGGAGTTGAGACCAGTGTGGGCAACATAGTGAGACCCCATCTCTATTAAATAATAACAATGACCTTTGTGGAGCTGTTTTCTCCTATGATCTTTTTATAGTCTTGCCTTCTTTCCATAAGTGGCAAGGGACTGAGACATGTCTGCCTGCACCACAGCGCAGCGCAGGCCTAGGGAGGCATGTGTTACATTAGCCAAAGGCAAAGGCTACTGTGGCCAGGCAGCTCTAGACGCAGATCCTGGCTCTGTCCTTACCAGCTGTGATGCTGGGTAAATCACTTCCATCCTGAGACTTTCTCATTTCATAAAATGATACTGTTACCTGTCACAGAGGGCAGTGAAGACACAATGAAAACTGCTCTGAACAGTGCCTAGAATAGAGTAGGTGGGCCACAAATGCTGCTGCCCACTCTCCTGGCTGCTGCACCAGTCCCCGGAGGCAGTATCAGGAGCTTGGGGGAGAATGTGACACTCTCAAAGCTCTCCGCTTCCTAACTGGTGAAGCCCCAAACTCACAGCTCAGGAAGTTCTCATCAGGCTGGGCCCAGCCCCAGCGGCCTGCTGTACCCACTCACCCCGCCACCCCGCCACCCACTCACCCTGCCACCCCGCAACCCACTCACCTCGCCACTCCACAACCCACTCCCTCTCCAGAGGCCCCAGCCAAAAGTCAGCAGACCCCCAGAGGGGGCTCCACAGACATTGGTCATTCAAGTTTTATTTATGACAACTTAGAACATTCACATCCAATCTAGGAACAGAAATGTACAACATGAGGCTTAAATAAGTTTCATACACTATGTACAGCCATCGGCAGAGGTACAAAACATATATACACCTTGTGCCAGCCACATCTTGGGGGACGGCAGGAGCCGGATGAAACCCTGAAGCCTGGGCAGGGCGCGATTACTGGAAGAGCTGGTGGCAGGGCAGGGCCCCAATTCATCTCAGGGGTCTTCTCTGACCCTCGGCTCTTTGTGGAGCAGTTTCTACTTCCTATTATTTCCCTGCAAGGCCCTCAGGACACAGTTCACAGGACTCAACTAGGGTGTGGTGGGGGCTTCAAGATCATGAGTCCTGGGGATGGGGCAGGGGGCAAAACAAAGATATCAAAGAAGAAACAGAGCTTTCCCTGTACAATCTGTCCTCGCACATGAGGGCAGGGAAGGATCTGGGAGTCGGGAGAGGAGGGCCAGGCCCAGGAAGGCCTGTGGGGCAGCGGCCGCTGACCAGGAGGCTATGCCAAGGGAAGAGAGCAGCACAGCTGCCTGTTTGGGATGGCAAAGCGACACACCCCACAGGTCCGGGACAGCCTGTGAGGAGAAACACACTGCTCCTGCAGGGTGGCCTCTGCCCACACACACACAATGGCGAACAGACTGGGCACAAGCAATAGCCAGGGGCTATGCCTGCTCCCAGCCCGGACATCGGGGATGCGGAGAGCTGGCAGGGCAAAGTGGCGTGAGGTTCCCTAACTTCACCACATCAGGCACAGGAGAAAGTCCCAGCGGCCTCGCCTTTCCCCCATGCGGTTTTGTGCTTTAAACTGCCCTCTGCCCAGGCCACACAGCCCCAGACTGGCAGCAGGGCTGGACAGCTGAGGGTGAACGGTTTCCTAGGCTGGGTCTGGGGTGAGGCCGCTCCCGGACCCACAGCTGTCCCTTCCCAAGGGGCTGACCACCTCGAAGGCTCAGGTGTGCCAGCCTCCTCCTCCCAGCCTTTCCTCCTTCCTGGGAAATCTTGCAGGGCAACTCCAGGTGCTGCCTTTGAGAGTTCCGGCTGCCTCAGAGGAGTTAGTCACTCACAGGAAAGCAAATACTGATGTGGCTGATGGTGAGGATGGGGCCCTGGCACAGGACTGTGCTGAAGAGGCCCGAGGGCAGAGAGGATGAAGACACCTTCTATCCGGGGAACCCGCTCAGAAGCTTCACAAGCACGGAGCGGGGCTTGACCCAGGAGACAGGGAATCTGAGTCTAAGCTCTTTAGGCTCACTAGGGCTAGGGCTCAGCCTGAACTCAGGCAGTCAGAGATTTGGGGGGCGGGGTTTAGAGAGGACTTTACTCCTGCTCCCACGGCGTAAAGATGTGGCTGGGCCTGACGGGGCTCAGCCTCGAGTCTTAAGATGGGCACAGAAGGGCACGAAGTAAGGTGACGAATCCCAGAATTAGGACAAGCCATGGGCCAAGGCCTGGTCTGAGCAAGGACAGACCCCTGTCCCAGACATGGCCGTCCCCAACCTCACTTTGGACAGAGCCAGGCTGGGAGGAGCCTCCCGAGTGTGCCTGCAGGACCCTGCCGTTGTGCTCACGTCACGACCATTTTGTGCTTCCAACACTTGGGTGCTTAT